TGTACACCAGCATATATGGTACCTTAAAACACACGGACAAGAAATTCAGTTCCATGGTGTTTGGATTAGTGGTTAAAGCACCAGGCTAGAAACCAAGATACTGTGAGTTCTAGTCCCAGCTTAGCCATGAAAGCCAGCTGAGTGACTTTGGCTCAGTCACTCTCTCTCTCAGCCCAATTCAACTCATAGGATTGCTTTTGTGAAGAAAATAGAAGAAGGAAGTTATATTGCATATGGTTGCCACCTTGAGATGTTTGTAAAAAGCAATAAAGGTAGAATATAGATAAATAGGTAAATAGATAGATGATAGATCGATAGATAGATAGATAGATAGATAGATAGATAGATAGATAGATAGATAGATACTGTAATATCTAGACCATAATGGTAAACCTTTTAGAGACCGAGTGCCAAAAAAGTGGCTCCACCCCCATTCCACCCCCTGCCCTGCCCCCACCCCACCTCCCCGCAGGGCCATTCACCACCTCCAAGGCCTGCCGCAGATCGCCCAGGCAGCCCAGCAGCGCCATGGCAGCCACGGTCTTTGCCCATGCCCCCCAGCATCAACTGTGCATGATGGGGCATGAGGCCAGATTTTTGTCTATGCTGCCTAGCTGCCATGTTCTTGGCTGCACTGCTCCGCATGGGCCACGCTGTGGGGGGACTCTCCTCCAGGGGGGCTGCTGATGAGGAGGGGGTCACAGGGGGAGGCGAGGCTGGGGCAATGGCACATGTGCCCACAGAGAGGGCTGTGACTGCCACCTCTGGCATGCGTGCCACAGGTTTGCCACCACTGATCTAGACCAGTGGTGGCGAACCTATGGCACGGGTGCCAGAGGCAGCACTCAGAGCCCTCTTTGTGGGCATGCACACTGTCGCCCCAGTCCTAGGCCCTCAGCTGGGTTTTATAGAACCTTTTCGCTTTAGACTTCCGTGCCTTGTGCAAAAAAAAAGTTCAATCAATTTCAACTTCTCGTAGGAAAAAAAAGATCTTGCAAAGCTGGAATTGATTGATTGAACTTTTTAGTCCCACCCAGTCTGCAGTTACCACCACAGCCACGCTCACCCAGTGGGCCATGTCCACCCAATTGGCCACACCCAGCCAATGGGGCACACTCAGCCAATGGGCCACGCCCACCCGGCACTCGATGATGCATAAGTGGTTTTTGGATTGCAGTTTGGGCACTCAGTCTCTAAAAGGTTCGCCATCCCTGATCCAGACTATAAAACAATCTAGATCGTTACAAAGGATACCTTCAAACGAATCTATATAACTAAAATGAATGCTTTCTCCATCTTCAGTCCCACTGTTTGAAAAATTTAGTACTGTAGATTATCTGCAGTGTACAGGTAGTCCTCAACTTACAGCTATTCACTTAGCGACCGTTCAAAGTTACAATGGCACTGAAAAAAGTGACTTATGACCATTTTTCACACTTAACAACTGTCTTGCTTAGCAACAAAAATTTGGGACTCAATTGTGGTCATATGTTGAGGACTACCTGTAATTATCATAAACAGAAACTGTTGTTTTATTTAGCCGTGGTTAGGCAAGGAAAGTGTCTTTCCTTGCCTAATCTGTCTTTAAGGCAGTATTTCTCACCTTCAGCACCTTTAACATGTTTGGAATTCACCGCCACACATGGTTGGGTGGGGAATTCTGAGCACTGAAGTTCTACATCTTCAATTTGTTGAGGTTGAAAAATATTGCTTTAAAAGAACCTTTCCCAAATCAGCATCAGCTACTTAGAACCTCCAAAATTCTTATCCTTAGTATTTCACTATGAATAGATATCTAGGAAACACCATTGTAACATTAATCTACTGTACTATAATCTTTGCATAACTCACAAACATGCACTTCAAGGGAAATCCTTTCAGAGTGAACTGCTGTGTCACGTACTCTGGATTAGAACCACACCTGCCCACAGGATGATACCTTTGAACAAAGATTCATTCCTAGACGTAGCCAGGAAATAAGTCACCGTAACTCAGACTGAGTGCCTCTATGACTCAGATATTGAAGAATCACTTGAAAGACATGGTCAGATCAGGCCTTCCGGTTTCAGTTGGCCATTTCTAGTTACCCACCTTTCAGAAAATACAGTGAGTTGATAAATTTCCCAGTAACTGGGCTCATATTTTGCTTGTTTGTAAAATAAACCCCAACCATCTGATTCAGGGATAAGGCTGTTAAATCATAAGTTATAGTTTATATATACAAAGGCAAAAATGAATAGCACTAAAATAACCATACCACATTACATCTCAATCTAATATTAGATACGTGCAGGGCTTTTTTTTCTCATAGAACGCCCAGAACGGAGTTCCAGCACCTTTTTGGGATGGAACCTTGTAGGGTAGGCAAGGCGGGTTGTATGACATGTGTGAGTTCCAGCACCTTTTTTTTTTTTTTTTTTTTAGAAAAAAAGCACTGGATACATGTATATATAGTACCACCTCAAACTTTCTTCTGTTCCACATTATGGCTGTTCAGATGACCTAATTCCATTATATTTGAAAAATAAAGGTCTATTTTCTAACTAAGCTTATTTCAATAGAAGTATACCATCAGAAACAGGCTCTCCAGATATTTAAATCATTATCACATAGACTCTTGAAAAGGAAACTGGTCTTCTTAAAGGCAATTCTTGAAATTATTCAAATTAGAGTTCTTAATAATTGTTTGTGATAACAATCTCTTCAGCTCAAAAATATAATATAAATGGATGTTGTACAGTTCAGTTGGTTTGGAGATATTGTGTCCCAGTTATTCAACGTCCCATCTTTTCTTTATAATCTCTTCATTTCAAAGTGGCTTTGAGAGGAAAAAATAGCTTTCAGGCTATTTATGTATAACATGATATTTGATTTTCATCTGAAAGCTTTTCTAAGTTGAAAAGATGTTAAATACAACCAGTGCTTTTTTTCTAAAAATAAAAGGTGCCGGAACTCACACACGTATACAACCCGCCTTGACTACCCTACAAGGTTCCATCCAAAAAAGGTGCTGGAACTCCGTTCTGGGCATTCTATGAGAAAAAAAAGCCCTGAATAAAACAAAGTACATATTATACTGATATTAGAATACAGTTGTATCTTTCTTTTCCCATTACTCTTAGGGTGCCAAATGGTATGATGTGTTTTAAAATTCTAGGGCAGGTCAACAATTAACCCTTATTAAATAGTAGAGAAAGAAAGCAAACAAAAGAAGCATTTCTATTTGGTAATTTCCTGTTAATTCCAAATCCATATTGCATCCAACCCTCAGAAGACCTTTTTCCCTATTGTTAAGCTAATTAGCTGAAACGGTAAGAGTCATCTTATCTAGCAGCATATTTACACTTTATACATAATTTTTCAGCCAATTATTCTTTAATTTGGACTTTTCAGTTAAACCATCATTTTTGCTCTTTTCATACAAAAATTAATTTTGTTAATTAATTTTGACAGAACAATTAATCAGTGGAACCATTTGCCTCAGAAGTTGTGGGTGCTCCCACATTGGAGATTTTTAAGAAGAGATTGGACAAATAATAATAATAATAATAATAATAATAATAATAATAATAATGATGATGATGATGATGATGATGATGGAGGAGGAGGAGGAGGAGGAGGAGGAGGAGGAGGAGGAGGAGGAGGAGGAGGAGGAGGAGAAGAAGAAGAAGAAGAAGAAGAAGAAGAAGAAGAAGAAGAAGAAGAAGAAGAAGAAGAAGAAGAAGAAGAAGAAGAAGAAGAAGAAGAAGAAGAAGAAGAAGAAGAAGAAGACGAAGAAGAAGAAGAAGAAGAAGAAGAAGAAGAAGAAGAAGAAGAAGAAGAAGAAGAAGAAGAAGAAGAAGAAGAAGAAGAAGAAGAAGAACCAACCCATTACTCAGGCAGGAAACCCTATACCATTTTGGACAAATGGCTGTCTGAAATGGTATAAAGTTTTCTGTTTGAGCAGCAGTTTGGACTAGAAGACCTTCAAGATCCCTTCCAGCTCTGTTATTCTGTTTGTTATTTGTTTATATTTTACTTATTCTACAAGAGAAGCTAGCAAACTAAGGCTCAATGAGCTCATGCTGTCTTGGAAAGCTTTGGTTTTTAGTTCCTGCATTTAGCTAATAAATCTGTTGGTCTAAATGCTGATGTGTAGAGCCAGAAGAGTAAAAGGAAAGCTTCCCTCATCGTGGCAAATGCTTTTATCTGTATTTGATCTTCTCTGCTTAAGGGAGGTGAAAATATAACCAGGTTATCTGACCTATACCATGAAGCTGGTGAGGAAAAAATGACAAGTGAATGTGTTTATCCAAACCCATATTTTGTTTTTCTGTCTATGAGGTGAATTCTGGCTAGAAATTTTAGGAAGATGAAAGAAGAGGTTGATTTTTCTTCCTAATATTGAATCAATGTTTATAATATACTTTATTTTTATTTATTACTCAGTAATATTTTAAAATATGTTTATTTATTAAACTTATATGGCTGCCCACCTCACACAACAGTGATTCCAGACAACTTACAAAATTAAAACCAACAACATAAAAACCGATAAAACCCCACCCCACTCCAACCAATGGTAACAATAATATTATCAAATCAACCACTTGATCATCTTCATCTCTATTCATGCTCCCCAGACCCACTTACATTACCATATCATTCAGAAAAGCAAGAAGCTGGGAGCCAGTTGTATCTCAGGAGGAATGATGTTCCATAGAGAAGAGCCTTTTTTTATGGTTCCCACCAGAAATACATCCCTGATAGGTGGGATAGACAACATATCCTGCTTCCGGGTCTGGTAGGCTGAATGGTGAGCTCCCATTACTTGCTTTTAATGACTGAAAACTTTTGTTTAAATTTATTTATTAAATTTATAAATTGTAAACTGAGAATTCACAATTTAAGAAACAAATTACAAATATGAAGAGTTAGTACACCGACTACTTCCTGTGTGAAAATATCTGGGTTTTTTTTACTTTTTTCACACCATTAAAGAAAGAGTATTTGAGATTTCATTTTAAGAGCAATAAAGTATTTTATTGATTTTTAAGGTATGCAAATAAATGTTGCTTAGTCCAAAAGATAATAGAAAACAGTAACAAAAACCAACGTTTTCTAAATAAATCATTTAATAAATATATTTCAACACTATATTTTCCACAGTCCTTCCATCCTCCTCTCTTCAAGCTCACCCATTGAAAATACAATTAATAACTGAAAGATAATAAATATAAAAGTAATGTCATAAACTTGTTTCGAGCACAAACTGTCTTTTTGGTTTTTACTAAAATGCAATCCACCTTCTCAAAAATTTACATCTCACGCATGAGTTTCAGTTTCAGGATCTACCATTCATACCATAATAATGCTGTGGAGTGATACAAGTGAAAGTTGATTTGAAGTAAGTTATAGCAAAAACTGAATTGAATTCAGACAGGAACTCCCCTTCATGAGTGAGCTAATATCCTCTCCTTTCCTGAGTATGTCTGGCTTTATTATGCTGTTTTTAGGAATTCGGAATGGCTCTAGGGAGAAATAAGAAAATGTTTATTCTATACAGTAATTACTTAACTAAAGCTCCCAACATTCTTTATTATTGATATTCAGACTAATTCTCCATGTTGGAGAATAACAGCATAAGCATCTCTAGATAATTAACCATATTAAGGAATGCCAGTTTGGTGTAATGATTAAGGTGCCAGCTAGAAATTGAGAAACTGTGAGTTCTTGTCTCGTCCTAGGCACAAAGCCAGCTGGATGACCTTGGGCCAGTCACTCTCTCTCAGCCCTTGAAAGGAGGCAGTGGCATACCACCTCCAAAATCTTGCCAAGAAAAATGCAGGGACTTTTTCTGGCAGTCACCAGGAATTAACACTGATTCAAAGGCACATGTGCACCTAGCACATTAAGATATTTCCTCCCTGCCTCTTCAGTGGGCAATGACCCCATTAATTGAGGATGCTATGCCATAGAAATTGCTGGTTTGTGATGTATGTGCTTTTATTTCAGAGGTAGCCATGCTTTTATTGTTTCACTTGGCAGTGAGGAGGAAAGGAGGTGGAATAATAAAAAAAGTCATAAAAATTGAATTGTTATCAGATCTGCTGCAATGCCTGCCTACTTTGTCTTTTAGAATCTCAGGTTATAAAGCAACATGCCAGGTGCCAGATCAGAATACAAATGGGTGTAGAACCAGTAGGGCAGAAAGTGAATGGATTTAGAATTGGGGCAGTGTTGACTTCATGACAATAATCATCAATGGGTGGCTGGCTTTAGAGTTCCTAGTAATATGAGCATCTGATTATCTGCTGATGCTGCTGATACCTATCTAGCCACTGCAACAGATGATATTGTAAGAATAAGACTTAGCAGTGCATACTTAAGAAAAGCAACTGGTTGGTTAGGAAGAAGGCAATTATAGGAGTTTCCCTTTCCACAGGAAACAGGTTGTGTTTTTTCAGACTCATCTCACTATATTGTTTGGAATGTTCTTTCAGAGAGCATAAAAATGCTCCTCCCAGTCCAGTACGCTCATTCATTTCAAATATAAACCAAACATATAGATGACTTTCCTTCTTCTATGTATGAGGCCATGCTTGCTTTATTGCAGGCATGCACCATCACAATAATCACAATTGTGATTCCAGATGAGCTATGTTGACCAATCTAATATAGATTGACTTTTCTCAGTTCTGGAGATTATGTGGAATATTTGTGATAGATAAAAGTCTAGCGTCCCAAGTTCCTAAAGGACAGAGAGATCATGGCAAGATTTGGACTTCAGTTTGAAAGCCATATTCTTGTTTTTTCGGGCTACGATTTTCCCCCAGAATCTCCTCGCCTTTTTAGGAATGGTTTCTTTTCTCTTTTGATATGCCAGCCTCTTCTCATTCTTTTCTCTGCTGTCCCTTCTCAGACGAACTTGACGTACGATGCCTTCAAACATCTCCCTCACGTTATGCTGTACAACTGCTGAGGTCTCAATGAACTTACAATCGAACACTACTGCACAGGCTCGGCCCTCTGGAAAAGATTTGAAGAGAAAATAATTCAGAAGTATTCCTAGGAAGCAGCGTTCTTCAAAAAACTTGGAAACTTTAAGATATGTGGACTTTTATTCCCAGAATCTCCCAGGAAGCAAAACACTTACTGCTCACTTAAAAGACAAAAAGGGGAAGAAAAAACATCTCCCTGAATGAAGTCTGTTTCAGTAATGCCACTTCACTACAGGTAGTCCTTGACTTACAACTACAATTAAGCCCAAAATTTCTGTTGCTAAAGTGAGTTTTTAAAGTGAGTTTTGCCCCATTTTATGACCTTTCTTGCCCCAGTTGCTAAGTGAATCACTGCAGTTGTTAAGTTAGTAACACAGTTGTGAAGTGAATCTGGCTTCCTCACTGACTTTGCTTGTCAGAAGTTTGAAAAAGATGATCACATGACCCTGGGACACTGCAACCATCACAAATATGAGTCAGCTGCCAAGCATCTGAATTTTGATCATGTGACCATGGGGATGCTGCAATGGTCATAAGTGTGAAAAACAGTCATAAGTCACTTTTTTCAATGATGTTGTAACTTGATCACTAAACGAGCTGTTGTAAGTTGAGGACTGCTGGACTGTTAATTAATTCTCTTTTCAAATTTAAAACACCTCTGCCTTCCCCACTCATAATTGTTGGGCAAACAAGCCATAATGTAGATATGCCTAAAGTTACAGCATTTAAAGAGTTGAAGCAAAAACAACTGAAGAGAAACATCCTTACCTGAAACAGAAACTTCACGGCACCTTACAAGATCACTTTTGTTGCCTACTAAAATAATAGGAAGGTCTTCCATGTGCCGTGCCCTGCGGAGCTGAATCCTTAGCTCAGATGCTCTTTCAAAACTTGCCCGGTCCGTGATGGAATAGACAATTAAATATGCATCTCCAACTTTCATGCACTGGTCTTGGAGCCATTCTTTTTCCTTCTACTCAAATAAAAAGAGATTTGGGGTCAGACGTTTAAGCTTCATACCTGGAAGCCCATCATCTACAGGAGAAAAGCTAAATATTGCTGGTTACTATAATCGTTATTTTAAATGCATTGTTCGCATTCGTAAACAAGCATTATATTATGAGGTCACTGGAGGTCAAGCTTCTACATACAATTTGCTTGTGATTGGCAAAATCTCTTTTTCATCAAATTTAGACAGGTAAAATGCATTCCGTACCTCAGTGGTATTCAACTTTACTTGGGTTCTATCCAGTGGTGGGATTCAGCCAGTTTGCACCACTTCGGCAGAACCGGTAGGTCATTTTTGTTGCCCAAGTCCAGAATGGACTTCCAGAAGTGGCATCCACACAGAGAACCAGTTGTTCACATATTTGAATCCCACCACTGGTTCTAGCCTACGGTTAGGATTTTGAAAGCATCTGATGGGCACCCACACAAAATGGCTACTGTGCAAGACTCACCTATTACTAAAATTGCTGAGATGATTCCCAAAGTATTTTTGTGTGTTCATTACCAATACTCCTTGTTATTTTAGCAATGCATATCTACAAAATAATCTAGGTGTAGATATGTATAATAGGTAGCATAAATGTCCTTCCTTGCCCTCTTAATAAAATTTTCCCTATAAGCCCCCTGAAAATGTTCTGCTTATGGATGGAGTGCCACTCATTTAGAGAGGACTCTCTTCTTCTTTGCAGCACACCATATCCCTCTCCATTCCTTGAACAGAATTTTCACATACTCTGCTTAGCATGTGGGAATGGATTGTGAAAAAGAGGATTTTGATTCTACTAGCCTTGCTAAATGTGCCCAGGTCTTAATCCAAGTCACCAAGTATCTGTATATTGTGACTTATGTTGCAACCCAGAGCCCAATTAAACAGAGCCCTTAGAATTTAACTAGCCAAAACCAGTTAGAAAAACTATTAGATATATGGTCCTACAAATGTCACTCCTTGCTTTCCAACATGAAGGGGATAGACCTACAATAGGGATCCAAACATACTACTGCAAGTACTGTTTCCCCAATGCACTTGGTGATGAGTCTAGGAAGTAATAAGAAGAATAAGGAAGGAAATAGGAAACCATTGGGAAACCTAAGACTTCAGACTGGCTAATAAGTCAAAAATAAATCCCAAAGTATAGGATGAGTGGAAATTTGCCTTGCTCTTATTCAGAGCTATGGCAAACCTCCAATTCAAGGCCGTGGTGATTTATTTGGCAGGAATAGCCAACACCCTAGATAACAGGCCCAAGATCCAGATGGATCTTGACAGACTTGATCACTGGGCCCTATCTAACAAAATGAAATTCAATGTAGAGAAAAGTAAAGTCTTACACTTAGGCAAGAAAAACCAAAAGTACACATATGGATTGGGCAAAACCAGGCTTAATAGCAGTAACTGTGAGAGAGAATGAGGCAACAGTGTGCGGCAGCAGCCAAAAAAACCAATGCAATCCTAAATTGCATTAACAGAGGGATTCAATCAAGATCACATAAGGTACTAATACCACTATATAAAGCCTTAGTAAGACCACATCTAAAATACTGCAACCAGTTTTGGTCTCACACACACTATAAAAAAGATGTTGAAATTCTAGAAAAAGTGCAGAGAAGAGCAATAAAGATGATTAGGGGACTGGAGGCTAAAACATATGAAGAATGGTTACAGGAAATGGGCATGGCTAGTCTAGTGAAGAGAAGGACCAGGGGAGACATAATAGCAGTGTCCCAATATTTGAGGGACTATCACAGAGAGCAGGGGATCAGCCTGTTTTCCAAAGCACCTGAAGGCCAGAAAAGGAATAATGGATGAAAACTGATCAAGGATAGATTCAACCTAGAAATAAGGAGAAATTTTCTAACAATGAGAACAATCAACCAATGGAACAGATTGCCTTCAGAGGTTGTGGGAGTTTCATCATTGGAAGCTTTCAAGAAGAGACTGGACTGCCATTTGTCAAAAATGGTGTAGGGTCTCCTACTAGAGTGGGGGGTTGGACTAGATGACCTACAAAGTCCAATCTTATTCTATTCTGTTCTGTTCTGTTCTATTCTATTCTATTCTATTCTATTCATAAATAATTAGAGGCTTTTATAAGCAATGAAATAACTTATATAAGTTATATTTTTGTCTGATAGAAGTAACACCAGCAAGTGAGAGCGAGAGGGGTCCACCACAACTACACTATAGGCTGACTTCAAATGTCTCCTATATACTGTAGACTAGCTAACAAGTTGTGATTTTGACACTCAGCTAATAGAATAGAATAGAGCTGGAAGGGACCTTGGAGGTCTTCTAGTCCAGCCCCCTGCTTGAGCAGGAGAACCCTGAAGTTTGGCCTCTCAATATTTTTAACTGTGCTTGCTGCTAGATTTAAGGACTTTTTTAAAAAAAAAAAATGCATTTATGTAACTATATATTTCACTCAGCAAAATTAAAGAATGAGAATGAACACATGAACAACATACATGAAAATTTCTGCCTGACAAAATGATTTTGCATACTACCTTGTTTTCCCAGACGTCCAGAAGCATTATAGTTGCACTTTCGCCATCTACCTGCAAAGTTCGTTCATAGTTGTCTTCTAGAATGGAAAACACAAAAATATGTGACCTTTTTTTTTTGTTTTCCTTTTCACTATATAACTCAGACTTTAATGTTAGGCAAAGTAAAGGTTAGAAACACGAAAATTCCCTCTTTGGCAGAAATTAAATAAATCAACAATACATTGTGGATGCCATACCAAAAGAGAAGAGACAACATTAAACTATTTCAGGTGGGAATAATTAGGTAGACTTTTAAGTTTAACAAAACTCTTCATCAGTTATATCTCTCCATTTTAACCAACAGCATGTCTCTATGTCAGTACTGGTCCACGACATGCCAGCAACCTGCCTGCACAAACGAACAAAGCCCCATCCGTGGGATGCAAACAGCACACAACACCACGCACTCTCTGGTCTGTGGAAAAACTTTTCTCCATGGAACTCGTCCCTGGGTACCTTTTGGGTACCTCTGCTCTATGTAACAAATGAATAAAATAGTTTTTCTGCATAGGGAGCCATATTTAATACTTGAGTAGCCAGCAAGGATATACACACAAGTATCAGAAGATGGGGATACAATAAATCAACTTTCAATTCATATTATTCACATTTAATTAAAATTAAATACAGTGTGTCTAGAACCCCCATCAAATCATGTGATGATGTTTTCTTCAATTCCATTAAAAAAAAAACACCACGGTTAAAGAAACATTTGGAGGAGGCCTGTCAATTTTTGTATCTTGGACTTCAGTGCTCACACTAACTGAACTCTGATACAAGATAAGGCATGATTTTTTACTGTTCTTTCACAGTAACAAAAATTATCTCAGGGGGGTTTTGGGGTTGCATTTGAAATAAATGATATCCAGATACCAGCTCAGAAAATATAGATTCACTGCTGTGGGCCATCTGTATCTATCAACAGGGCAGCAAAGTCTATTTTGACTGTATTTCATGACTGTTCTTTCCACTCCAGGCCATCACACCAGACAAATGTTAGGAAAAAAACAACTTGTTACATCTGACATTCTTATATGAGACTCTGGCAAAGATCTGAACATTTCCATGAGTTCCAGAATTGTATAATTTTCATGGTAGAAAAAAAGAAAAATGACTACATTGATTTTTTGCTGGAGTTCTCTTTCTCCTAAGTAGGACAAGAAGAGTAGAAAGAAGATCCAAAAGGGGGAAAAATAAATAAAGCAAACATGACCTTTTGACCCCCATGGGAGCTGCAGGCAGTCCTGGAGACTCCAGTTAGGCTTAGTAATGGAAAATATTTGTTTTCACTCAATTTATGAGTGAGGAGGCATTACAGCTGCAAGCAACTTAAACAGCTTTATTCTGGAGCAAAAGTAGATTCAAGGGGGTTGCTTTTTTGAATGTGGCTCTTCCTACAACAAACTGGCAATTCTCTTCCTTATATTTTTATTACAGTATTATATTTTTATGCTTCTTAAAGGATATTACAATTAAAATTCCTGATAGAGCAAAAGATTGCTTGAATTCACCTGTAATCTATTTTTGTGGCAATTTTGCCAAACTCTAAAATCCTCCAGATGTGTTGGGACTACAATTCCCAGAATTCCAACATCTTTATGTTCTAAAACAGGGGTGTCCAACTCACAACATCATGTGATGTGTTGCGACGTATCGTAACTTTTTTTCCATTGCCGGCAATGGGGTGGGCGTGGTTTCACCATGGCGCATCCAGCCCGTGGGCCGGCAGTTTGACACCCCTGTTCTAAAACAAATCCTCAGAAGGTTCCAGTTCTTGTGGCCATGTTGCAGTGAAGATGGTGCAAAAAGATCCCCAAATCTTGGTTTCCTCTCAGTCCTCTTGAATTTCTCACTTCCCAGTTCCAAGTATAATCAATTTTGAAATCAGATTCTGAAGAGATATTTTTTAATCACATATACCCCACCTATAGTTTCATAAGTTGCAATTTAAGTTACTCATGGAATAAATGAAGTGCTTATGCTATTGAATTTAGGCTACTATTACTGCAGTGCCAATATGTAAAATTTAAAATAATGCCCACACACTACAAGGCGAAGATAGGAAAATAATTATTACATTTTTAGCAAATCCATTTTAAAAGTAAATTATTGGAAGAAGGATGTACACTGTATAATATGCTGCACATCCTTTTTTTAATGAAAGGAGAATTTGAAATGTAACATAAATATTAACTTATTGAAATAATCAAATGATGCTTTAAAAGCTGCTGGCCAATTAATTGGGGCTATTGTTTATTCAATCAGTCCCAGCCTCCTCCAAGCTGGAGCTTTCAGGAATGATGAAGTTCAATGTTCAACCAAAGAATAGCTGATTAGGATTATTATGCTTGTAATCCAACACAGCAGGTTGAGGAAAGGTGAAGTGAGTGTTTTGTTAGCAGTTCTGCTAAATAAGGCAGTTCTGCTATTAACTAGGGGTGCAACTCTGGCATAATATGGAGAAGAAAACAGAAGTTATTGGTTTCCCTTTCTAAACCCCGAATTATCACTTTTCCTTATGGGAAGAGAACAATTTTTCAGTTATTGTTGAATAATGATAAAAAGATGCTTTTACCCCCCCAAAAAAAGTTACAAAATATATATTTTTTTACAGTTCATGCAGGGTTATTTGAAAGTGAGTCTTACACTTCATTTAAATCAGTATGTTCTCATTTCCATTGTTCCCACCTTAAATTCTCTGTTCATTACATTCTACTCAGGAATAGGCCCCTTGAGGTTGCTTGTGCCATACTCCCAGGGACACGCAAGTGCAATTTCAGAATTCATTTCTGAATTCAGTGCTTGCAATGTTCTTTTAACATAAACTCTTATTTTGCTTGTTTCTAATACCTTGTCCAAATCCTGGGACAGTTCGCCTAATAGAAATATTTAAAAAGTACTTTAATGCTAAGTTTGTCTTCTCAGCTGATCCCATCTTTTAATTTTGAGTGAGATTAATAATAATGTGTAGAAATGTTACTTTTTTCATATGAATACAATTCTATCAACTGCTTCTGTACCATTATTCTAAGGTGCATGTCACCTTTTTTCTATAATATGTACCCTTTGAAAACTCATGAATGATGTGTCTTGCTTGAATTGAAAATATGATGAAGTAGCTGGGATTCTGCTCATTGAATGTTTATGAAAATTATCCAGAAGTACTAACTCCTACACCGCAAGGATCAGCAGATGTTATAATCATTACCCTTAGGACACATGGTCTTACTGGAAAATTATGTACCCAAAAATGTAACATACACATTTTGGTGAATTTATCAGAAAAGTCTTTGCTTCTTATTTATTGCAAACAATCAAATTCAGCTTTTCTCACATTTGCACTGATTTGGTTTGTTGAGCTCAAGAATTTTCTTTTAAGGTTTGTGCTAATCATTGGGTTCTTTCGGGGTGCATTTCTTCAAGCATAGAACTTTTGTTCACACTGTAATCTAATGTACATGGTTTCTACGAACAAGTTTTCCTTATATTATGCATTTTATATATTGCATTTACAAATATATACATTATTCAAAAAACATTTCTCTAGAATATATATATTTTTAAAAAGAAGCATATTACATTAGGATGAGAGCTCAGTTTGTGTATAATTAAAAAAAGAAAAGCAAAATTAGATTAAGTTGGCATTCCAATGCAAACTGAAAATTGCTCCCTCCAACCTCCAACTGACTCTGCCATCTTCCTTAATAGATAACTACATTCTGAAATCACTTTGGAGGCCACAGAATTATGACTTCTGTGGCCTCTGAATTTATGTGTTTTGTTTTTGCTTGCTCCCAAAGGCCTCTTACCCAAAAAGTTTTAACTAAACCTGGGGGGGAGGGCGGAAGGGGGGAGGGGGCAAGGAACAAAACTACCTACCTCCCAGAAGTTCACAATCACTGTCCAAGCTGTCATGCACACCTGCAAAGACACTTGCAATGGTAGTTTTTCCAACTCCTTGTTCCCCTATGAGAACTACTCGGTAGCAGCTGTTTCCTGATTCAGTGGAGATGACAGAATCAGAGGACTCTGATGACCAGCTTTTGCGGTAATATTCTTCATGGTTTAGGGTATACCTTTTCTGGCAGTTTGCCTCTTGGGTCTCTTTCTGCACTACCAGATGTTTTCCATCTGTTGGAACACTCCAACGTTGCTGCTGAGGCTGCAAGGCACCACAACTACTGCCACTGTTGCGACGCATGGTGACATTGTTCAAGGTCATGGCTTTTTCCCTTCAATACTAAAAAAACAGCAACAGGGAAATGGTGAAAATCATAAGTACCAGTAGGTTGCATACATTGTCTGTCTGACATGGGGAATGGCCACATGTGAAATCCTTGGTGAGCATGCCTGAAGGGCCTAAGACAACTTGTCACAACCAACTTGCTGCAGCTAACTTGCCATTGCCAACTCACTGTGGCATAACTTGCCATAGTTAATTCACCATGGGACAACTCACCGCACAACAAGAGTTACACTAATATTGAAGAAATAGTGGAATAGAATCACTAAAGAAAGGATGCCAAAGGATGCCAATTAAATTGAATTGTTGAATTGTCCCACAACAAGTTGTCCCGTGGTGAATTGGCCCATTCCCTGCCTGAATGTAGTTTCAAAGAGCTAAAACAGAAGAAAGATACTCATAGCAATGGAAATTCCTCCTTAAGAAGCAGTTGAGTACTTGGGAATTGTAACAACTGCTCACCAATAAAAATACTTCAAACTTGAATTCAAAATCTGGATTGTTTCCTCCATCTGATCATGTAATTTGTGGATGGCTGTTGCTCTCAATAAGAGTGCAGACCAAGTGGCAGTAGAGTACCATCTAAAAAAGCCATCCAAAGCAACCAAGAAACTTGGCTCTACTGCAAAGGAGAGCACTTAGTAGAAATCCACTCATCCTGGAGGAAGAGGCCAAGAAGGTCACCTTTGACACTCCTGGTTTGTTTCTGCTCCCTGTACTCCTGAAAAGCAGCCCTGCAGACACAAGTGGGCAACCAGAGGCTATAGAAGAAAGAAGGGATGGCAAACATCCCTATCTCATCTAGCAGTCTTTAAGAAACAGTAAAAGTATACCTAAGTTTCTTTCTTTTGCCTTTAAAGGATCAGTAACAACAAAAATCTTGTGTGGAGGAGGAAATAGTTCCAAAGTGTATCCATGCTATGTTTGTGATGTAAGAATTCCCTTCTACTGTAAAAGGCTGTAATTCATCTCAAGAGTAGTAAACTAGGACTATCCTCCCTTCCCTACAGATAGTTTATAACTTTGCAGGAAGGATTGTTCAGCACTGGTAAGAGACAATGCTGTGAGGCAATTTTTGAGGGCCAGAAACATTTGCAGCTACCATTTTTAGGAAAGTTGCCTTGGTGCGCACCAGCTCTGGTCATGACAACTATTTAGACATTTGACTTATTTAGGCTAAATCCTGGTTCTTTCTCAGCTGACATAACACCTTTAGAGCTATCGGGCAGAACAGAAGAGAATGCTGACGTCCCTTTTCCAAAGTGGATATAAGAGCAGCATTCGTAGAACAGCTCTCCTTCACAAAGTGAGCATTTGGTCCATCATTCAGTGATGAGTCTCATGAATGAGAATCCCACTACATTGGAAGCTAAGACATGCAAACAAAGCAGCAAATGATGTTCTGCCTGACATTTAAGATGCAAACACTTCTCTATCGTTTGCAACTTTCTGCAAAAGCCCCAAACGTGAGATTCCCAGGGATGCTAAGGAATGCCATGCGGAAAAGCACAAGCAAAACAAGGCTATCCATTTTCTGCTCCACTCCTGGGAACTTTCCCAAGCAAGAATAGTATCAAACTCCTGCATATTGAATACACTTCTCTCTCGTTCTAGTCAACAATATCACTTCTTAGAAACAGATAGAATCAAATTCATTTCTATAGCACAAGCTGGTCTTTTTTCTCACTGTATGCAGCCAACTGGACAGTTAATAATCTGAGTTCAGTGAAGAAATACAGCTAGTTCCGATGCAACTTTTAACTTCTATTTCAAATAATGCTTTTTTCTTTCTTTCTTTTTGCTCTCTAAATACAGGTCTGCTTGGGTGCTTAAAAGAAGGCTTATTAATTTGTTATTCGTAAAGAAACACTACCTTGCTGGATGGTTGGTTGGTTTTTTCCTGATTGTCTTTTGCAGCCAGTCGATGTTCTTGATCAGAATCCCTTAGTTCTCAAAGTATGGAACACCAGGCAAATCTCCCACAGAAAATCCTTCATATGTTCAAGGACTGCCTCACTTGATTCTTTCTCAACAAACCTGGTTTATATTAAGCCCATCTGATCAGACACAGGGCTTTTCCGTGACGTCACTGGCCTGTCCACCCAAGAGCCAGCCCCCATCTGGACGGAAGCAGGCATGCAGAAAAGGGGAAGAAGAGAGGGAGGAGGAGAGAAGTTACTGATGCTAACAAAGTAATTGATGTGTAGTTAAGTTTCTTTCTTCTGCTTTTTTTAAAAATCTCCATTATGCTTGTTAAGAGCCAGTTCTGTAAGAGAAAAGCAGAAAAGCACACATGTACACAACTCCTTTGTTGGGAGGAGTGGAGTGCCACTGAAATGAACCATCTGTTTGAGGCCGTTTGGATTCATTAAAGCAAGCAATGTTGTACAAATCTTAATTGTCTGGAAGTCGTGCTGTACAGGAAATTATCCTCTTTCAAGTATGGACAAGCTATTTATTTACCCACAAATACCTCCAGGCTCCATTTGTTTAATTATTACTTTATTTAAAAAAAATATTGGGAAGGTGGTATGCTGCAAAACAAAGTTTCAGTCTCTGGCATATACTTGCAAAAAAATATTCCCATTAGAATGATAAAGATACCTTACCTTTGGGTATCTGGGTGCACCCTAATTTCAAAATATTTGCTGCAAATTACATTAAATCTTTATTATGGTTATACACCAACATAAGGGAGGTGGGGTGTAGTCATTAGAAAAACATAAAGGATACAAAGAGTAGAAATAAAACTCTAAAAACATTATGGAAGGCTAGACACTATACAAGTATTCCTTATTTAGTGACTGACTCGCTCAGAGACCATTCACAGTTACGATGGTGATGAAAAAGTAACTTTGCAACCAATCCTGACTTTTACAATCTTTGCATATATGTAAAGCAAAGGAGAACTGAAGTAACATTGTAAGCACAGTCACAGTTTTTACTTAGGAACTGCTTCATTTAATAACTGAGTTGCCAGTCCCAATTGTGATCACTAACAAGGACTTCCTGTAAATGATATATTAATTAAATATTAAAAGTATATATAGAAAGCAAGAAACTAAGTGGTAGGAGCACTAGATGGTTGTGGGGAGCATATAAGGTTATATATAAGGTTGTGGAAGACTATATCAAGTTACAAAGCACTCAAATATAGCGAACTAGGTGCTCATTAAATCTGATTTATAGGACAGGTCATCATCCAATGAACTTACCACTGCAAAAATTATATATTTACTATAAATCTGTTTAACCTCATCTTTCATCTATACATGGAATGCTACTCAGATTGTTGGGGGCAATATGCAAACAAGGCTTACACTGTAAACTGCCCAGAGAACGCAGTAAAGTGCTATGGGGCAGTATATAAGTCTAATTGCTATTGCTATTTGTAAAGAAACTGTTACATCAGATAAACTTGTTTTTTGAAGACAAAGGTTATGCTGTGCTAAGAAATCATATTGTTCAAAGGATGCTCAGTTCTTTGACTAACTTTATAGCTGGCTTTATTTCTGACTATGCTCAACTTCCCAGAGATCTTATGGCTGGCTGGCAGCTGGATTGTCTTGTTCTGCACTTTTTGTTAATCTGAGTCTCCTTTAATGATTTCCACTTCTAATGTTAAACAAGACAGCGTGCCAACCTTTGCATCAGAAGAGGCAAGAGATTTATAGACGCTTGGGTCACTAAGAGATTAAAGAGTACATTGCAGGAGAAGATGGGAATTGTACTAAACATTTCCAGAAATTATGCAGCACAGTTTACAGATTGGGGTTTGGAAAACATCAACCTGCACATTAAGTTAAAAGCACAACTTGCACCTGAGTCTTTTGATGATAAAAGAAACAGAGCGATGAACAGATCCAATCTAAAACTCAAACATGAAGAGTGGGAAGGGGTAACCTCCCATCCAATCATCACCAAAGCTGCTAATACTTGATAGATTGTTCTTATACAGGTAGTCCTCCACTTATGACCACAATTGAGCCACAAATTTCTGTTGCTGAGACATTTGTTAAGTGAATTTTGCTCCATTTTACAACCTTTCTTGCCACAATTGTTAAGTGAATCACTACAGTTTTTAAGTTGGTAACATGGCTGTTAAGTGAATCTGACTTTCCCATTGACTTTGCTTATCAGAAGGTTACAAAAGATGATCACATGATCCCAGGACACTGCAATTGTCATAAATGTGAGCCAGTTGCCAAGCGTCTGAACTTTGATCACATGAACATGGGGATGCTGCAACGGTCATAAGTGTGAACAATGGTCATAACTCACTTTTTTCAGTGTCATTGTAACTTTGAACAGTCACTAAATGAACTGTTGTAAGTTGAGGACTATCTGTATACTGCTAAGCCATTTAATAACAGTTTTTTTGACTCCAGTAAATTTGGTTGGGTTCACACGTGCTATGTCCAGATTAATGCTGTGCCTAAATTAGACCAGGAAAAGCTGGATTCACACAGCACACCAAATCCGACTTAATGATATCCAGCATTTGCTTGGACCTTGTATACCATGACTTCATTTTAGGAAGATTTTCAAAACAAACTCAAGCAAAAAATATTTGCCGAAGTCCAAATAGTACATGAGATAGATATAGGCACCTCAGATTTCTCTGCAGGATAGCCAAGAAATACAAAACCATAACAACAGACATTTTAGGGATCTGTATCAGCTAGATGAAAACTGAAAGTACCAATAATAGTGCTAGAGAATTAGGAGAAGGATAGAAAAATTTGCCATAAATAAGAAATAACTCTTTGAATGTTTGGACAATGGCATAAATCCAAGAATTTCTAAGACTCGAAAGAATTAGTGCACGGGCATACCCTAATTATTTTGGCTGAATAGACATAGTTAAGGAATGTTTCCATATGCTATCTTTATATATGAAGTCTCCCACAGGAGAAATATTCTCAGATGGAGAAACCCAGATTATTCTTGAACTGACATCTCTCAGTTAGCCAAAACAATAACAATAAGGAGATGAGAAACAGTATAATCATGAGTCAAACCTAAAGATTTCTTGTGGTACAATTAAAATTGGACTGCAATACCTCATCTTGAGTTCCTGAAGCAAATATGAGATATAAATCAAATAATTAACAATATGAGAGCTACTTTCATTTAGTAGTTAAGGCACAAGGCTAGAAATGGAAAGACTATGGATTCTAGATCTTAGCTATGAAATCAACTGGGTATCATTAGACCAATCACTTTCTCTTAGCCCTAGGAAGGCAAAGGCAAACCACTTCTGTAAATCTTGACAAGAAAACTGCAGAGACTTGTCCATACAGTCACCAGGAGTCAAGACTGACTTGAAGGCACCTTCCCCACCAAAGAAAAAAAATCAAGCCAAGGGTAAATGAGCGTAACTTCAGAGTCAATCCAATTAATGTAAGGGAAGAATAATCACATAAATTCATTAACAATTACAGTAGTGTTTTAAATATGCTGAAGTAGTTTTTTCATCACTAAAATTATTGAACTAACAAAAGGTCAATTACTCAGTACATTTGTATAGTAACTAGCAACAATCTGGTGTATCAAACAGAAAAAGCCACAACACAGTAACACATTTGATATGCTCATTAAATATAGTTAACTTTTTTTTATTTAAAACAACTAAGTTCTGACTGGATCAAATAGTATAATGAGCAATATTTTAATCTGGCAAAGATCACGTAGAAGACAAAACAGGATATGCCGGGCAATTAGTTCCACCATGTAATCACTTTGTAACTGGCCTTGTTACAAGACATTTAAACTAATCAACCTCTAACCCCCTTGGACCTCCTGAAGCATGGCTTGGCAACATGCTGTCACAGTAACAAGTATCTCAGAGTAACAGTGTTGAAAGTCAATATTTTGGAAATTCCGTGTCCACACCTATTATTTTTGGAAGTGTCTGACATCTGAGCCCTTATGTCATAAAAATACTAGCAAGACTTGAATACATCATCCACCTCTCCACCATTGGCCAAGTAATAGTGGGGAACCAGTATTTGGGAGATATGCTAAATGTTTCTGGGTTTCTTGTCACTGAGAAATGTAATGGAGAAGCTTGTTTGGGCTACTTTCTATACCCAGTTAGTTTTTTTGAAGGACTAACATTTCCACTTTTGGCTGGACTGTGCTGTTTGCACAACATAGATAACTAGGTAAGCATAGTTAACCAAAATAAAACATTTCTATATGGATGAAATGTATGATGGCTGACTGAGTGATGTGTTTGCATAACACACGTATCCCAGCAGTGTCCCAGTTAAGCATGCCATGTGAAACGTGCTAAGGTTATGCTGCTAAATAAAAGGAGAAGGTAATTATGTGTTTACATGGCAGCACCTGGCAGCAATTCCTTAACTCAAATGAGAATGTAAAGAAGAGAGCAAGTTAGGTGTAGTGGTTAATGGCACTAGACTAGAAACCAGAAGACTGTGCATTTTAATCCTGCTTTAGTCCTAAAGCCATCCAGGTATCTTTGGGCCAGTCACTCTCTCTCTTTCTGTCTCAGTCTTGGGAAGAAGGCATTGGCAAACCACTTCCAAAAAGCGTTGCTAAGAAAACTTCAGGAAGTTGTTTGTATAATCATCAGGAGTCATGGATGACTCAAAGGCATGCTCTCTCTCTCTCTCTCTCACACACACACACACTCTCTCTCTCTCTCTTTCTCACACACACACACAAACACACACACACACACAGAGGCATGATCAACAGTTGTGATGTGAGTGCCACCAACTGCTCTGAATCATTTTTTTTTTATTTTGAATCTGTGGCTCTAAAAGTCAAGATGCATTATTTATTGCATTTATGTTGTGCGTTTCATCTGAGTTCTCAGTATATTCAGTATGTAAATGATTTTATGCCCACAACTCTGTAAAGTGAGGCATATTGAGAAGGGCCCAAAACCATCCAGTGAGCGACAACTTGAATTTGGTTCTCCTCAATCCAAACCTGACACTTTAACCATTGCTACCAATTTCTGTCATTAAAACAAACCTTCAACTTACATTCTAAGGCAAAAGAACTTAGGCTGGTTATGATGCTCAAGACGGAAGCAATTTATGATCCTGTTAGTCAAGAATTAGAAAAGAAATCACCCTGCTGCACAAGCTAACAACAAATACTTTGGAAACACAGTTTGATTCATTTTAAACAACTTTGTCAGACCATAAGAAATAGTCAAATGTATCACAGACATAATTCAGAAACTCATCTAGCCTTATGATCTAATAGAGATAATAGCCGTTAAAGACTCCCCCACCACAAACACTGATCCTGTTTCAAGATAGATGGAAAAATATTTTGATCTCCTAGTTACCACCCGGCACCTATATCATCTAGCTCCAAACTATCACCCCCTCTTTACAGGCTATTAGATAGTTTCCTGAGGATACTTTTTTCCAACCCTCCCCCCAAAAAAACCATTTAAAGAGCTTTCTCAGACTCATAGCCTGCCAGATATACTGGATTTCAAGCCTATTTACAGTGGCCTTAGCCAGGCCAGCTAGCACTGGTAGAAGCTGAAAGTCAGCACATCTGGAGGACAGGAGTTGGAAAGAATCATCTGTATAATTGTATGTTTATATAAAATAAAATAATTAGATCTGGTCACTTTTTCAGTAACAGCCCCAAAAACAATGGCTCAAGCAGGCTGTATGCTAAACTAGTGTAAAGCTCTTTGGTGGCGCTGGAGTAAATTTGGAGAGCAGCAAAGCTGAGCACATAAGGGCAGTTCAAAGCCCAATCCCAGATTATTCTTATTTTTTAGAAGTAGGGCAGAGGACTTATTTTATTTTTTAAAAGGCAGTTTGTGCAGAAACTACAGCAAAAGAAAATTCCTGTTAAAACAATTAATCAGTGGAAGGACTTGCCTCCAGAAGTTATGAAACCTCCAATACTGGAAGTTTTTAAGAAGAGATTGGACAACCATTTGTCTGAAATGGTATAGGGTTTCCTGCCTGAGGAGTGGGTTGGGCTAGAAGACCTCCAAGATTCCTTCCAACTTTGTTATTCTATTCTGCTCTGTTCTGAGTTTCTCAGCAACATATCCAGTATTTACCAAACCAAGGAAAAGGCCGGTGATTTCAAGGGATGTTAACATAAAAACAACACTGTGATAGTTTTCTTTGTTAATTTTTGTTAAAAATCTAAGTAAAATTAAGGGCACCCCCTCCAAACATATTTCATGTGAGATTTTGATTCTGAAATATCATTAAAAAGTCGAGAAAAACTCTGTCATTCAACAACTAAAGGAATAGTTCTCTGATGCCAGTGCTTAAAACGTTGTGAGTATTGTTACAGGCACGCACCCAACTTTTAAACATTGAAAACTGCCAGAGGTGCCATGGCTTACCCAGGATTATGCCCTTGTGAGGAAATAACTGAAAGCTAATATTGTGCTAAACACAAGAGAAAGAGAGAGAGAGAGAAAGAGAGAGAGAGAGAGAGAGAGAGAGAGAGAGAGAGAGAGAGAGAGAGAGAGAGAGAGAGAGAGAGAAGGCATATGATAGGTAGTTTGCAGCTTTAACCCTCCAACAAATTCCTGTTATTATCAGATATATTAAATCACTGAGAAAAATTGCCAGCTGTCTTTCTTTTCTCCATTCCATAGCGAATTGTCTTTGTTACCTACAGTATCTCTCTCCAAAAATATGCACACAGGTACACCTGCACAACCCTTGTCCACTCCCTCCCTTAGCATTTTGGAAGCAGGAAATTTTGGTTTTAGTTTTGTTAAAAAAAAAAAGGTGATGCCACTGGCTCATGAAAAGCTCATGGAGAATATGTGGCTGCATCTGGCCAACGATCAGCAAATGCCATTCTTAATTTTTTCTGCACAAAGGGAGGACACTATGTTCCAGACACAATTAAGCTCTTTCTGGCCAAGTCACTAGCACATCTTCTCTATGGGACCTTGCTCGGACCCTCACCTTCATGTTTTACACCATTGGAAAGAGTCCAATCCAAATTTATTAGAACAATTTTCCAGATGCAGCGCTGTGTCCCAAATGCACTTCTGCACCTGGAGACAGGATTGATAAAAGTCAAAGCAAGAATCTGTATAGCTTCCTTAAATATCTGGCTAGGCTTAATTGCTTTCCGCAAGGCGTTGCTCCATTAATTCTTCAAGATAAATTCTCTTCTTCATGGATCAAGGCTGTCAAGTCCAACCTTGCTAAACTAGGCTTCTCGTCAGCCTCAATTCTCAAACTGGATTACAACCAAGCAAAACAAACCTTGTGACAAAGGGTAGAGGACATCGAGAGGCAAGCCGACTTAGGTATAGCTCCAATATTTCTTGCTCCAGACTCCATTAGATATGTTGTTACACCTGCCAGTTATCTTAGTCAGTTGGAGTCAGTAAACCATCGGAAAGCATTTTCACTTGCATGGTGCCATGTATTTCCATCGGCTGTCCTGTACAGCAAGTATAAAAAGACACCATTGACTGAAAGACTCTGCTCTTGTGGCTTAGGAGAGGTGGAGACCATTGGACACATACTTCTTCGATGTTCCTTTATAGAGCTATTTGAAAAAACCATATCCTCCCCATAATTGGTAGGTATCTTGGTCATTCAGAAAATATGTATCTCAGCCCTAGGAAGGAGGCAATGGCAAATCACTTCTGAGCAACGTTGCCAAGGACTTGTCTAAGCAGTATCTGAGAACTCAATATGATTGAACGGAAGAAAAAAATGTCAGGCCAAATAAACTGAATTCTTTACATCAGTGGTTCTCAACCTGTGGGTCGGGACCCCATTTGCGGTCGAACGACCATTTCACGGGGGTCGCCAAACAAGGCTGTCTGCCATTTTTTTCCCCTTTTCTTTGGCCACGCCCCTGGCACCCAGTGATGTATAAGTGGTTGGGGGTCACCACAACATGGGGAACTGTATTATGGGGTCACGGCATTAGAAAGGTTGAGAACCACTGCTTTACATGATATAAAAAGTTCCAATTAAAAATGTTCTAAATTTTTGAGCTTAATGCCAAAATCTCCATTCTATGTATTTATAAATGTTACAAAACAAAAAGAGAAAAAAGAAAGGAAAAAACACTCCTAAAAAATAGAGATAAGTATTTATCTGTCACCTTCAGCAAAGCCCACAACGTGAAAACTGGAGATGAGGAGGAAGTCTATTCGTTAGCTAGATCAAGAGATGATCAGATTAGAAAAGGGAGGATCACCAGAGAGCACAGTATCTATTTCTTCAGGCTCTACAGAGACTGTAGATGATTTCTTACAATGTTGCCAAAGTAATCTTGCCAGGTGCTGTCCAAGTAGCATCTAAATACAAATCATTTTTGTTAGCAAAAAAACCCTATTATTTTAGATTTGCTTTTTGCTTTTTCTCTCCAGAAGCTCAAGGCAACTGCAAACAACAGCTCTGTTAAATAGATCAGATGAGAGATCATAATTGGCGAATACTTATACATGTTAATATGTGCATAATTATAGTTTCTTGGCCAATGGGAGATTTCAGTCTGGGATCCCTAGTCTTATGCCAATATCGTAACAGCTGCATACACTACTCTCATTCCCTTAAATCCAACTATGAAGTCCTTTCCAAAATCCCAGAAATATGTACTAATGTTATGATAGTCTTAATTCCGTTAAATCTAGATTAATGTTGGACCAATACAAACATTCTCACTCAGTTGTAGAATACACCTAAAATGGTGTTGATGTGGATATCCAGGATTTGCACGCAGAAAGCTCTAGAATGAAGAAACCATCCCAACTTTTCACTTCAAAAATACTTGAAAAAAATGCCAGTTCTACAAATATTTACTGATGCAATGAGAACATTTATTCTTAACCATTATCGTTGGCTTGATCTCTGTCACTCTACACTTTATCAAAATTGCCTGTAAATGTCACCTCTACTCAGAATATTAGTACAGTATCATTCTGAATCCTCTTACCTAGTAGAAATTTTCCTTATTCTGAGTGATCTATGGTCCTGCAAGATATTACTAATAGTAAACAAAAACTCTAGCACAAATACCATAATAAAATCAATATAACAGCAATATACTTTCCCAGATGCTGAGGAGCAATCCTAATCACTCTTGACAAACTGAATTAATAATTTTTCATGACTATTTGCACAATATAGGAACAGTAAGAATTGGAATAACAAAATTAGAGCAGTAAGAAAACTTGAGATAAGACTTAGATACTAAGGAAAAGTCTTTCTTTGTCTTTGTCCTCAATCTCTGTTGCTTAAATTTAAGCAATTTAAGGAATAGTATCTATCATTACTACAAATTACTACAACATTAACTAACTCACTAACATTACTACAAATATTATTTTAAGAAAAAGGATTCCAGGAGTTTTGAGACACTTGTCCTTTACTTACATGTACTCCAGATGTGTAGACTTCAAATTCCAGAAATCTCAGCAACATCCATCCTAGCTGATGAATTCTGGAAAATCCATACATCTGAAGGGTACCCAGTTTGGAGAAGGTTGCATTAAGGAACCACTGTTGCTTGTAGAATTATGTAATATAGGCTGGATACCTTTGCCTGTATTGATCTAAGTGTTAAAGTCTATTAGAATAATGTTCTACAAGATATAACCTGCCAAATGTGTTAAACTCTGATTCTCCTTATTCTTGTATAGCTGTAGATTGTGGATATTGAAATTCAAACCAGGGAAGACTCTTGTCCATTATCTTCTCTTGTTTTTAACATTCCTGCAAGGCAAAAGCTATCATCAGGAATTGAGACAGTCACATCATATCACTCCATTCAAATTGTCTACATTTTCCAAATTCTGAATCTTTTATTTTACGTGCAACTTTTCTCCCTGATTCTTTATCACTCAAGGAAAAAAAAAAGCCAAGTGCTCAAAAAGAGGCCAAAATATTTGGACAGCAGCAATTCACCTTCCTTTTCTGGAAGTGTCTGGGGAACTCCAGCGATAGATTTACTATAGTCTGCAAAATGGGCTCACACTGGCTGCTATCTTGCCATAATGTTTATTTCAATAATCCCACAAACTTTAAATATTAGACAGCTGGCATTGCTGGCTAGAAAAACAAGATGAAACATGACCTTGTTTAAAATTTGAATTCTCCTTTTGAATCAACAAGTTTTCAGGAAGATTTTTGTGATCCTAATCAGACAAGCCATAAAATATGAACTTCACAGTCGTCATTATCATGGCCAACTCAACCATCTTATTCATAGCTCAGAGCTTTGTTGTAAGAAGTCCCGTTCAGAGATATACTGAACAATGGAGCTGAAATTATATCTTTTCTAATTCAGTTTCAAATGGAGATTCCTCAAGCTTTTTACAATTCTTTTTCCATTTGAATTCCGAATAAAACATCTAATTCTTTCACAGAAAGCTAAAAGTATAAAGATGTCACTGTATCCCTGAATTACTAAAAAGAAGCCTCTGGATCAGACAAAAGTTTATAGTCTGCAGCCTTCTCGATTAAATACCCACCAAAAGGATTAGGAAGCATTTGCCATTATCACCCAGCCAGCACTTTGGGGAAACAATCAAAGAAAATGAGTCTAAGCCGTTTCCCTGCTTTCATCATGGCAGATATTTTAGGAAAGTCCTAAATATAGAGAAATATAGAGCAAGAACTGACTTCTACTTGATTTTCAGAGAGTGGTGATTGCTGACCATGGATTTTCTTTAAAGTTGCAGGAGACAGCTTCTAGCTGATCCTGCTTGATCACAAACAAATTAAGCAGGGTTGAATCTGATTAGAACTTTGATGGGGGGTTACTAGGAAATCTCAAGCTGTCAGGAGTGGAGCTAAACGTGAGGGAATCATAGGAGACTTGGTAAATAATCAACAATAGAACTGACTTCCAAGAATTTAGATAGATAATCTCTATCTTTTCTTTTTTTCTAAATAATTTTATGAAGAATTATAAATAAAAAAATAAAAGTCAATATTCATTACAAAAAAAAAAACCAAGCTCCTACTAAATTCTTGCTGCATAGTCCAAAACCTGCTTAAAACCTCTTATTTCATTTTTAGAATAGCTTTCTTTTTTGTAAAGATAGGTAGGGAAACATGTGATACAATGTCAAACAATCAGAAAGCAATCCAGCATTGGACTTTTGGTTTTGCACTGTAGTGCATGGCCAAGCGATTGCAGAGCTCTGCACCCAATGGCTAGTTTTGCTCTGCCAGGGGGCCCTAAATGGATCTAAAGTCGCCCCGTAGAGGCAACAAAGAAAAAGGGGTGCCCCAATGATTGCGGAATGACAGCGGTCATCCCACTTGATCCAGGGGAATCCCTCTAACCTGACAGGAGAAAGGCTGGCCACACCTTGGGTGACCAGCCCAAGCTACTTGCAGCCGAAGTCCAAAGGCACCAATCAGAACAACGGTGAACAGCTTGCTTGAAACTGGGTGAGCAATTTGATCTTCTCTTTCCTATTTTGTACCTGATTTCCTAAAAAAGATTCCCAAGAAGCAAAAATCCTCCCAAAGTGAGAAGAGAGGGGACTACACCCTCACCCTCCCATAGACAGAAATGGCTAATTAAACACTTATGGGGACAAAAATATATTGAAATGATGTTAAAAATACTACAGTCTTGATAAATTTGAAAAGCAAGAAAACTGTTAAAATTCCATACCTGAAAAAGTATTGATGAAATTATATAAAAAAAATAACTCTGCTTTAAAAGGTGGAAAATGAACAGCTACTGACATCTAGTGGAGGATTAGAGAAAACTATAACTGCATTGACTCAGAATTTGGCAAGACGCCCAGAAATAGCAAAAAACAGCTGGGAACAAAACATTGGGCTATCTACTACAGAGTGAAACTATATATGTTTAGAAACTGCTGACGTGGGATTATAAACACACTGAGCTGCATTTTTAAATTTAAACACTTTAGACTGAAATCTTGGCTGGCTGATAATCATAAGGCACCTAAAAAGAAGAACTGTTACAAAATATTGTTTTGAGTGGTGCTTTGATAATTGGAAATGTATTGGATTACAAAAACCATATATAAAGATAAGAATTACATAAGATTTGGTTGTTTGGATTTTAAGATGGGCTGGTTTGATAAAGCTAATTAAAGAGACTATGGAAAAACTATTTAGAGGAGGGAGACAAAATGGATGTTGTATATTTATCTAAAAGTGACAAGAAACCAACATCTAATACCTCCTGCTGAGAACCCCAGCTTGGAACATCAGAGATCTGCAAGAACAATGACTCAAGAGAAAGCAAATACACTCCAGGAGAAAATATATGCAATGCTGTGACAAATTCAAATGACAATTGTCTCAAATCATGCTAGATTAAAAACAACTTTGATAACATAAATGAAGATAACTCTAACCTAAACTCACAATTAAATAACGCTCAAAAAATGGCGATAAAGAATAAAGAAATAAATCAGACAATAGAATACAAACCAGAGGAAAATGGCTTAAATATGAAAGCTACAAACAAAAGAAAATCTGCAAAGTTTTGCTACAACAAAGGAAATAAAAAAGATGTTTTATCTTTCAGGACTTCAAAACAAACTTGAGGACAAAAAAGAAGATTTAATGAAATGGATTAAAGAGCTGTCAGGAGAATCATTAAAGCATGGGAGACAAAAAACGAATATTCTACTTAATTTGTCTTTTTTATCTCCAACAATATCTACAAAAATACAACCTGGCAAGCTAAACTTACTGATTTGGAAAGCAACCTGGCAAAAGAAGAAGATTAGAATTAGATTTAAGAGATGTGATTCAACTTATCAGATGGAATACTATATGACTAAACACCTGTTTGAATATGGTTAAAAAATATAAAGTTGGATATAAAGAGACCCTATAGTAAGATTGCTAGACGGTATATTATATGACTAAATATTTGTTTGAACATGGTCAAAAGAATAGACAAAGCTTGGACATAAAGGGGCCTATAGTAAGAGGGATAAGATAAATAAATAGTATAATACTTTTATAATATATGAAATATAAAAATCAAGTCAAACTAATGTCATAACCCCATGCACGTATCCATGTAATTATCTTGACAGAAGTAAGGGGATGGTTTGCCATTATCCTCTTCCAATATTTTTCTTTACAGGTAGTCCTCAACTTATGACCACTCATTTAGTGACCATTTGAAGTTATACCTACCTTGGAGCTATTTATGGCTCATATTCAAAGATCCTATGGTCTCTCTCCTGAAATTATGTGACTGAACTTCAAGCACAGAGCAACTGGGCTGCATTTACAGCTGTTTGTATGTCCTGTAATCACTTGACCAAGTTTTACAATGGTTTTGTAAAAAGCTGGCATTTACTTCATTTTTGGAAAAAGACTGCCACATTCATTTAATGACTGCCACAAAAAAGGTTGCTTTACACCACAGAAAAAGGTCATTTTGGGGGGAACAGACTGATGGGTAGTCTCCATTACAATTGTAGGACAACGACTGCCTGTACTCCCCAGTCTAGCCTAGATTTTCTGGGGATTTCCCATTCACATACAAACCAGAATTTTAAGGGCAGCCAAAGTTAGCTAACTCTGATTATAGTGTAAAACTTTCTTGTAGGTGACTAGTTTTTATATGTCTCCACATCTACCAGCATACTTATATTTGTTTTCATTGTCTCTGAGGCAACTAAAGGCAGCCCCGTTTATTTATCTCAACAGCAGGAGGGATTTCGGCCTGGAATTCCCCATATAATTATAGTACTGATACCAAGCACAGAGCACTATTACCTAATTCATAAAATATGAATAGCATTACTTAGCCAAGAGGGGCTATTCTCTTTGTTAGAATTCAAAGGGTCAAATGAGTGTAGATGTGAATCACTCAAATGAGTGTATATTTGAATATCCAGTAGGATACTCACACTAATTTTGTGTTCATGAGTTTGCAAGAGTTGAGAGTAACATTGATTCATCTCAATCAGGAAAGACAATCTGCATCCACGGAGTTACCTATATAGCCTTGGAAATATTACCTCTGGCCATAATTGGAAAAGGGTCAGCCTGACTTCCTGTTATTTTGAGGTATGGCAGAGAACTAACAGAGGCAGAAGAGATTAAGAAGAGATGGCAAAACTACACAGAAGAACTATACAAGAATGAGCTTAACGTCCCAGATAACCACAATGAGATGGTCATTGACCTCGAACCAGACATCCTAGAATGTGAAATGGGCCTTAGAAAATCTGAGCAACAACAAAGCTAGTGGAGGTGACAGTATTCCAGCTGAGCTATTCAAAATCTTAAAAGACGATGCAGTAAAAGTGCTACACTCAATTTACCAGCAAATTTGGAAAACTCAACAGTGGCCACAGGATTGGAAAAGGTCAGTTTACATTCCAATTCCAAAGAAAGGCAATGCCAAAGAATGTTCAAACTATCGCACCATTGCACCCATTTCACATGCTAGTAAAGTTATGCTTAAAATCCTACAAGCTAGACTCCAGCAGTATGTGGATCGAGAACTACCAGAAGTACAGGCAGGATTTTGAAGAGGCAGAGGAACTAGAGATCAAATTGCCAACATACGCTGGATCATGGAGAAAGCTAGGGAGTTCCAGAAAAACATCTACTTCTTCTTCATTGACTATGCAAAAGCCTTTGATTGTGTGGATCACAACAAATTGTGGCAAGTTCTTAAAGAGATAGGAGTACCAGACCATCTCATTTGTCTCTTGAGAAACCTATATGCGGGTCAAGAAGCAACAGTGAGAACCGAACATGGAACCACTGATTGGTTCAAAATTGGAAAAGGAGTCCGGCAAGGCTGTATACTGTCGCCATGCCTATTTAACTTATATGCAGAGCACATCATGAGAAAGGCAGGGCTAGATGAATCAAAAGTTGGAATTAAAATTGCCGGGAGAAATATCAACAACCTAAGATATGCAGATGATACCACTCTAATGGCAGAAAGTGAAGAGGAACTAAAGAGCCTCTTGACGCGGGTGAAGAAGGAGAGTGCAAAAGTTGGCTTGAAACTCAACATTAAGAAAACCAAAATCATGGCATCCGGCCCTCTCAATTCTGGCAAATAGATGGGGAAGAAATGGAGGTAGTGACAGATTTTATTTTTCTGGGCTCCAAGATCACCTCAGATGGGACTGCAGCCAAGAAATTAAAAGACGCTTGCTCCTGGGGAGGAAAGCTATGGCAAATCTAGACAGCATTCTAAAAAGCAGAGACATCATCCTGCCAACAAAAGTGCGTATAGTCCAGGCCATGGTTTTCCCAGTTGCAATGTATGGCTGTGAAAGTTGGACCATAAGAAAGGCTGAGCGCAAAGGAATTGAGGCCTTTGAACTATGGTGCTGGAGAAGACTCCTGCAAGTCCCTTGGACTGCAAGGCGTTCAAACCGGTCAGTCCTAGAAGAGATCAACCCCGACTGCTCTTTAGAAGGCCAGATCCTGAAGTTGAAACTCAAATACTTTGGCCACCTAATGAGAAGGAAGGACTCACTGGAGAAGGCCTAATGCTGGGAAAGATTGAGGGCAATAGAAGAAGGGGACGACAGAGAATGAGATGGCTGGATGGAGTCACTGAAGCAGTAGGTGTGAATTTAAATGGACTCCAGAAGATGGTAGAGGACAGGAAGACCTGGAGGAACGTTGTCATGGGGTCGCGACGGGTCGGACCGACTTCGCAATTAACAACAACAACACACTAATCTGAAGTCAACATTCTAAACTAGGTTTAACAGAATGGGCAAGAAAGTCCCACCTCCTTCCATGTGCCTAACCCAGCCCTACCTACTGCTGATGCTGGTTGTTCATTCGTGAACTAGGCACACTTCCATACAAGTTCTTACAAACACTTAATCTATGCAGACAACTTAGTTGGCTACAAAAAGACAGATGGCTCTGAATTAGCTGGCCCCTGATGGAAGGAGTGCTAGTTAACAAGTAGAACTGTTTTTCATTAGGGGTAACAAGTGGCAAATGAATGGAACAGGAGATATGCACAATGTAGATTTAAGTATGCAGTCTTCCTTCCATTGATCAGCAAGCAAAGACTTTTTAAACGTTAAATCTTAATGTTCAAAAGTTTCATTTTCTTGTCCTGCATAGAAACTGTTAAAAGAAATCATATCCATTATTGCTAAGCGATGATGATGATATCCATTCAATCATGTCCAACTCCTGGTGATTCTATGGGACAGGACTCTCCACCTCTTCCAATCTTGCACTACTTCTTTGAGTTGTTTTATGTTCTGGCTAGTGTCAGCTTTGATGGTGTCCAGTCACCATGTTTTTTGGCAGTCTGGTTTCCTTTTACTGCTAAATCTTGCAAGCATAATTGCTTTCTCCAGTGAATTCCCCTGCATGACATGGCCAAAATAAGTGAGATGCAGTTTTGTGATTGGTTAAGCATTGGTTGGTATGTATACACCAGGAAAAAGGCAGCCTGAAGGATAAATGCTCTACAGATAATATGAAGTTGAAGGTGAGACACAGTCCTATAAAGTTGGGGGAAGAGAAGTGAGCACTACAAATCGATTCTTTCAAGAAAATTTAAGAGGCACAAATTAATAAAAGGAATGTGTAGTATCCAACTCTTTATGCAAGAGACTCTTAAACTTCAAGCAGCACTCTTAAACCACAGACTGCTGTACTATATAACACATATGGGGAGGCATGTGAGTTCAAGTATAGCACTAAATATAAATATGAATCTCCACAGAATAGTGCCCAAGTTAAGGGAAATAAAACATTAAAGTGTGAGTTCCCTATTTGTTACACACACACACACACACACACATACAAACCCTTCTCTTCTGGAACCCTCTGTACACTATAGAATTTACTTACAGGCAGTCTTGGCTTAGTGACCACTAACCCAAATAAACCCATGGTGGTTAAGCAAGATATCAAATGACCATGACCTCTGATTTTACTGCCACCTTCTCCATTAACTCTGTTTGCCACAAGCCAATTGCAAAGCACACAAACAACAATCATGTGACTTCTGCATGCTGCAATGATCGTGAATGACTTCCAATTGCAACATGCTCAAATGTTGATCATATGACTGGGGACACTGGGATGGGTGTAAATGTGAGGACGGATTATAAAGCAGTGGTTCTCAACCTTTTTAATGCCGCGACCCCCAACCGGTCGTAAGTCGAGGACTACTCAACCGGTCGTAAGTCGAGGACTACTCAACTGGTGCAGCACCGTTTGCAGAATGGCACTTTTGGCGGGCTCAGCAGGGCAAAGACAGCCTGGACAATTCCTATTGGCTTTTAAAAGCCAATAGAATTAGACTCTATTCAAGGGAGAAGCACAGCTAAGGAAAAGGGGGAAAAATGGCAAACTGCGTTGTTTGGCGACCCCCATGAAATGGTCATTTGACCCCAAATGGGGTCCCGACCCACAGATTGAGAACCACTGTTATAAAGTAACTCTTTCAGTGCTGTCTTAACTTCACTAAATGAGGAGGTTGGTAAGCAATGTCTACTTGTACTGTATTCACTGAATATTTCTCAGTTTATTGTAATCTACATGGTATTTGCCCTTTATTTTGTTTTCCTAAAGAGCAGCCCTTTGAGACAGGATGAACTGGAAGAGAATGGTTGGCTCAAATTAATCGATCAGCTCCATGCTCAAATAAAACCTGAATCTCTGTTTTCTTCAACACCACACTGGCTTTCCTCTCTTACTATGCTGCTTTCCCTTGTTTTTCCTCTGGTTACTCTTCCCTAATATGGCTTATTTTTTTGTAAGTGACCAACAATCCTAATTATTTCAGAACCAGGAATGGAATTGGGGCAAAGATTAAATTCAAAATGGCAGATTGTCAATTTGCAGCCATTAGAAGCGCAAAACAAGAGAGGGAAGAGATTTCAGGGGGGCACAGAAGCCTGGACTCACAAATTGTCTATCTCCACATTATAATTCCCATGTTCTCATGACAAGAGCTGCCACATTTAATAACTTTAAATCGACAGCAGTTATGAGTACTTATGGCAAACTGTAGAAAAGGCACCTGAAGGCTATAGGTAAGTTATGGATTTTTCCATTTTTTTATAGGCTGGAAACATTTGATAGGTCTGCCTCAGTGCAGAAAAAACTTCATTTTGAAAACTCTCCTCTTATAAATCTTCTTTAACCCCTGCTTAAAGTAGATTAATATCAGGTTATTCTGAATAGTTGCTGCAAGAGTGCAAAAAAGTTAAGGTGTGAAATTTCAGACATATTCAAGTGATCTCTGTTCAAACAAAACTGACTAGGTTGCGTGCAGTTCCTTAGCTAAGAAGAGACCTGTTTAAATTTTTAAACAATAGCAGAGGATAAAGGGACACTTAGAACTTGGCTTTAACCAATAAAACTTGAAAGACTTGTGCAATAAGGTATACGCTCTGCTGCTGCCATCTTCAGGTCAATCTAGGGAAAAGGGTTAACTTTTTTCAGTCCTTGAGTCTGATCTTTTAAAATGATGAACACCTTTGCAGAACGAAATATTTCTATATATACCTCAACAATAAACTTTCAGATTTTTTGACAGGGAAATCTTATATGTGTGTATTATACCATGTATAAGTATTAAAAAAGTTACTTTTTCTGAGTCCCTCTAGAAGAAAAGCTATGTTAGTCTACAGTTGCAAAAAGTCAGGAATCATTTTATCAGATTATCAGGATAACTAAACTGATATTTTGGAAAAATTAGGTTTTAAAAGAGTGCTTGAGCAAGCAGTTGTTGAACTCGCAATCTCGTATACATCAACAGGGTTTGGGCATTCTCAGGTTTTAACAAACACAATAGATTTTTAATTTGTTACAATATTAATTGAGGTGCTTGTCAACTGTCTCATGTTTCAATTGGACACATTAAGTAGCTACAGAAATTGAATGAATAAATAAATAATAAATAAATAACCAACCAATCTGGATTGGAACCATTCTGTCTTCACCCCAATTTGAAACCTAAGAAGTATAATGAATGGCATTAGCCTAAACTAGATTTAGATATATTTATTTTTATTTTATGAATATCTTTACCTGTTATTTCCCACTCTTGTATGGTTTACATAATTTTGTTCATGCTACAAGGGAATAATGTGATTTACACACACATGCCTTTGTTTTCAGCAGGAAGTATTCTCACATAAGCCAATGAAAGATTGTAAATTAACTCAAGAATACGATCACACATCAAAAACTAGGGTCTGTTTGCCCAGAATTTAATGAATAAATGACAATTAACCCAACACGTTAAACTGTTATTATTTTTATTGTATGCCTCCCATACAATAAGAGACGGGTGGCTATAGACATTTGATTAAATAAACAAAATAATATATGAGCATAGAAAACAGTTGGATTCAACAAACAATCCACATTGTTTTAGCTTACTGCATGAACTCCAATCCAAGTTTTTATTAGTTGAACTACATTTGAACTAATTAAATCTCTTAATTTTAAATAGAACACTTTGAAACAAATGTACTTTTATGGCATGATTATGCCAAACAATATAATATTATTTATTATATTTTATTGCACATAGTCTATTTGCAGTCACCACTGGTTTATGTAACTTAATCCAATTAAGAAGGTTAGATAAACTGGAGAGGCACTGTTTGTACGAACTGGTCAGGTATCACTTGAAAGACTATTATCAACAAATGTACTCATGCTTTTTAATGTTATTAGTAACATAAACACTGTTTGAATGTGTAGTTAAAAGTGTTGGGTTAGGATAGATATGATTGCTCACTATTGACCTGCTTTGTGAAATTACTCATGGAAAAATAGCCTCTTGATCATGGCTGCCTGAAAATAGACTGCAATATTCTAAGCTAGGATTGATAATAATAAGAGGATTCTACCTCCCAGAAAATATCCATAAGGACTTTAACAACTTTTGATTTACATTCCCAAGTGATTATAGAGAACATTTGAGGATAGAAAATATTTGTGGATATCTTGCTGATGTAAGTCACCTTAAATTTTGAAAGTTTTGCATCCTATAAATAAGCCTGTTATGATAGCTACCATTACAGCAATCTTTAGACAGAAATAAACACTTAAAGAAAATCCCCACATTCTTAACAAATACAAGGGTGGACCTGTGCTTGGAGGAATAGACCTTTCAGTCCATTTATAACCACCTCCTCACCTAATCATACTTTGCCAATCTCTTTGCCAAAACAATTCAGTTGTTTTAACAGATTTATTTTATGAAGGATAAAATAAGGATATTAAATGGAAACACAGAACAGCATAAATCAGAGAGAACTAGCAGTTCAGGAGATGTCTAAGAATCCTTAAACAATCCTTTTCCATAAATGCCACCCACCCCTGCATTTTTACTGTTTCAACAGTACAGAGTCACCGTATTTAAAAAGGTAACATTGTACAGTCAAAGCCATAGATCAGAGATGCTCGAGTATGTAAATCACTTTCAAAAGAGGTTAGCTTTCTGCAAGCCAAGCATCTGGTTTTTTTTAACTGAGCCAACAGCCTTTTTCCTAATGCATTTAACAGAAGCAGAATTGAGAAGCTAAGGTTGAGAGATGAAATCCCAGAGCTTCAATTCTGTCTAGAACAGGGGTCTTCAAACTTGGCCTTTTTATAACTTGTGGACTTCAACTCCCAGAATTCCTCAGCCAGCAAGTCATAAAAAGGCCAAGTTTGAAGACCCCTGCTCTAGAGGCTACGACTAAGAATTGAGCAATCAAACCAACGAATAGAAATGATGCATTATATGCTATTAATTCATTCTATCAGGACAGGAAAAAAATTGCTAATGAAGAAATAAATAAAAAGAAAAACCATGCCACTAATTCTATATTACATTAAACAAGTTATTCAAAGAAACACATGTGACAGGAAAAAATTTCCTTGTGCCTATAATATTATCTGATGAAATCTGAGTTGCTAGAGGGACATGAGCAGATATGTTTCTTCCCCTAGGAAGAAAATAGTGCTTTCCCACTATTTAGAAATTGTAACTATCTCATAAGTATATAATGCAATATATTATCTTTGACATACTAATTCTGAGAACAAATCCAAGCTTATTTATTGATGGAGAAAAATAATGATTAAAAGAAAGACTTGTCTCTGTTCTTATCATTAGTTGAAGAAAACATCTTGGATGGGCTAGATGGAAGTGTACTATATTCTGAAGTTGTTAGAGTGATGTGACATTGTAAGAAAAAGTGGTAGCAAAGAAATTTCCCCCCAGTTTATTTTAAGGATTAAAAGAATAATACAGTGTCAACCTTGATATATGTTGTTTATCCTCAGTAATCCTATTATTAATAATGCTGCTAGTACTGCTGTTAAAATGATAATACCCTAATGAATACAAGCCCACTGTGACTAAGAAGAAGCTAACTTGCTCTCAACTTGTTATATTTTGGAAAATAAATGTAAGATTGTCTTTTATCCTGTCAAGGAAGGGATCAGGGAGTTGTTTGTGGTCCACACAAAAGTGTTTCCATTGCATCAACTGTGACATAGACAGAGACTTTTTGACTTTCACATCACTTTGGCTACTCTGGTAGTCTTGGATCACAGGACAACCTAAGAAAAATAACAGGAAGAAAACATAAGCTGATGAGAAATATTCAACACTACTTGACATTTTGAAATAAAGATGTTTATGCCTATAAAAATGCCTTTGTTTGAATTCAGGTATTTTAGATGACAGAATAACAGCGTAACAGAGTTGGAAGGGATATTGGAAGTCTTCTAGTCCAACCCCCTGCTCAGGCAAGAAACCCTATACTATTTCAGGCAAATAGTTGTTCAATCTTTTCTTTAAAAAATGCCATTGTTAGTGCACCCACAACTTCTGGAGGCAAGTCGTTCCAGTGATGTCTGAGACAAACTTGTTGGATTAGTCTTCTCTAATCTGACAACCTGTTTCCCAGAGTGGTTAACAAAAGACAACCATCCTCTCCCATTTTCTCTCCTTGCAACAGTATCAACTGACCATTGCATTGTATCTAGTAAACGTCAGACACTTCTGATAGCTTATTTTTCACAATTCTGTTAGCCTCCCCCCTTTCAAACACAGAGGGGTCCCGCTGTTTTGCAGCTCTAAATCTCAAGATTGCATGATGAATATCAGTAGCAAGATTTTCTAAGTTTGGGGGGCGCAGTAATAAGTAAGATAGGCACTGGCATCTGAAAACTTTTGAAAGTGTAGTTGCTGGCTGTAACATGTCTACTGACTCTTATTTTATCTTGACTATTGGCTGCCATCATATTTGGTGCAACAAATTCATCATTTACCTAAGTAAAGTGTAAAGAAATATATATTTTTGCCTGTCCTGAATCTATTACCTATAATTAAAACTAAGTTAAATATTTGCACAGAATGACATGGGTTTCAAATCTTTATAAAGAAACAATATATTAACATCATAAAATTGCTCATCAAATCCACCAATCCCAGCTTCTGCGATAGGAGTGCCTGCAAGGAGGGTGGGAGATCAAAAATAGCAAGGGGGCAGCCACAAACTTGCAATCAAAGTTCCACCCTTTTTTATATGCATTGCGGTTTTAAATGCAGAGTTGTGGCCAACATCACCAAACTTTTTTGACCTTCTCAGTAGGAAACCATTTTGCAATTTGGACAGGGAAAAAAACAACATTAAAACTGTATCTTGTGTATGAAATAAGGCAGAAGCAATTCAGAAAATGTCACCTTGATTATCTTTCTTTCCCATACAGTTACACTCCAGCAAATCATGGGTCACACAATTGGAATCTTCATGCAATGCAAAGAGGTTTCTGAGTTCTTCGACAGAAAAACGGATATGCTCAGATCCCTTGGAAAAGTCTACAACTGCTCCAGAAAGAGCTTGCTTACTAATTTGTCTTTGATAGATTTTCTCCTCTATTGTGCCTGCATTAAAGAAAGCAACATTCATTCACTTCCTGAAAATAATGGCCAGAAATAGGAAACAAGTATAAATTCAAGAATGGTCAAAGCCATTGGTACTAAGCAATGGAGGGGAGAAGCATTACAACTATGATATTGCAGACCTGTAGTGAGTAGTCTATAAATATGAACTGTATGCCTCTGTCCATCTCTCCACACTCTGGCCATTGCCTACAAGAGAGAATGAGACAATAAAAATGATAGATAAGGCCTTCCAACTAATATGCTTGGCAATGTTATTACACTATGTTTGCTTATTATATTTTGTTTCTAAAAAAAATCTGTCTGCAATCAAGCTCCTGTTTTACTATAATTTCTTTATGAAAAAATATTTTTGCACGTTTTTGACTGATTGTCTAATTATGTGACATCAGGTCAGTGTTAAACCACGTAGATCAGACATGTCAAACTATCAGGACGGTTTTGCCATTGACGGTAATGGGGTGGGTGTGGCTTCTGGATGACATGTCCGGCCTGCAGGCCGGCAGTATGATACCCCTGACGTAGATGGTCCTCTATGACAATGTGTCAAAAACATTGACAAAAGCTTGACTGATTAAATAAAATGTTGAACATCCTGTATATAATTTCTTCTAAGAAATCAGCCCTTGCCATTTCACTCACATTGGCTTTTAATAAATAAATACACTTATTTAAATAGGTTTAAATCATTAAAAAGATTTCAGTTAATTCTGATTGATGCTAATAGCTTTACAGCCCCAATATGAAAGCATGTAACAAACCTGAATATCAGTCGCTGGATTCCAGTCAATATCATACAGGATTAAATGAGATGCTCCGACAAGGTTCAAACCAACACCACCAGCCTTTGAACTTAATAGAAAGATGAAGGCTGGGCAAAATTTACTATTGAAACTATCAACAATCTGTTGCCTCTGGGAGACAGGGGTGCTGCCATCAAGTCTAGTATAGGAATATCCACATCGTTGGCACACTTCTTGCAATATATTTAGTGTCTGAGTATAGTTAGATACCACAACAACTCTGTAAGCATGGAATATGGAAAATTGGTTATTAACAAATTCCATCTACGTTGATGGCACAAAATTATTCCAATACCAGTTTTGTTTGCCTCTTATGTTTATAGTACAGTAAACAAAATGTTCAGTTCTCTGATAGAAACTACCAGCTGAATTATGAGTCAAAATGTATAGTGTAAATGTCAATTATTACAAAAAAGATTGTGCTCAGAGGTAAATGTACCATGTAAGTTTTGTGTACTTGTTATTTATTCATATGAAGGATTTCAAGTGAAGAAATGTTAGTCAATTAAGAATGTAGAGCAATAGTGCCTTAGTGAAATGATAGGGCTAAGGGTATTAGAAGGCCAGTGGGAAATCATGTTTCAGCAGAAGTCAAGTTCCACCACAATGAAATAGGCTGAGTCCTGAGAAGGTAGCACAGATATAGCACACCTCTGTTGTGATAGACATGAAGCAGAGAGGACATATCTGCTTTTGTTTCTATAAGAAAGAACATCTGTTCCACTGGAAGCCTGTGTGAAACCAACCTTTATTTGATCTTACATAAGATAAGGCCCAAAAAAATGTGTTTTAGAGAAAGAATTTATCGGGAAATGCCACAGATAGTTATTAAAAGGAAGTTAACATATTTATATATATGGAATGGGACATTTTCAGCAACCTCTCACTCCTCCACCTACTAGGTTTGTTAAAATTATTAAACACAAACATAATATGTTTTTATTTCATATCTCTATGCATGTTTGGTTATTAATGAATTGTTGGTGGCTATTTTTTAGACTCTGCCTCTCTGCTATCAGCTCTCAAAACAGCATGTTATCAAGAATGTAGGAAAATATTGGCAAGCAAATACTGGATTTTCAAAAAAAAACGGGAGGGGATAGATTTTCTCCTGGGATAGGGTTAGAAGAAAGGTATAAACCATTAATAAACAACAATCAGATGTGAATGTAGAGAATTAAAAACTGATGAATAAAGTTCATTCATGTTCCCTAAACAAAAATCTATAAACAGGTATGAGAATTTACTTCAGTCTTCTGAAGAAATCAGGTTAAATGAAAGAGCAAGTTCCATAGCACTAGAGGTACTTAATAAAATAGCTAAGAACTAAATTATAAGCCATGATGTCTTTTGTTTAGGAAAAAGAACTAAACTATAATATTCAACCGCACTCAAACTATACTTTCAATTAAATAGCCTTCCTACCTTTCTGAAGGTCCATGTTCATGAATTGCTGCCAGCATCTGCATTAGCACCTTCAACTTTCCTGAGTCAGAGAAATTTGTCAGAGCACTTTCTTGAGAAAAAATATCATGTAAACCATCATAAAGGCTTGTTTGATCTTGGTTACCACAAGATTCAGATTCTTTCTTCTATGGAGAAAAGAATTTTGGAAAAGTATGTTGACTGTTTTAATGACATTCCAACTAAAGCCAAACCCATACTTTCTGCTTGTTCCCATTGTCATGACACACCCACTATTTCCTGAATGCAAGAATGGACCATATTGTCTTCCACCTGCACTGAGCCTATTGCAAATGTGTCTCCTGACTATTTTGAAACTTCACTTCAAAAGTTGGCTCTTCTATTTTGATGCATCTTAAGTCCTTCCAAACAGTTAGTCTAACCCGTTTCATTCCAATCTAATGATATCCCCAGTTTTGATCAGTTTTAGATTATGGGTTTTTAATGTTGTAAGTCACCTAGAGTCACTATGTATGAGCTGGGCAGCCATATAAATTTGTTTAATAAATTGATTGAAAGCCCAAAGGTGCTTTTTCAGAGGTAAGTGGACTTCGTTGTTTTTCTCTGAAGACATTTTACTTTTCAGCCAAGAAGGTTCTTCAGGGTTGAGACCACCTGAAGGTTTCTCTGTGTCGTCAGTGTCACCTGAGTAGTGCAAATGGGTGTGGAGCCTTCTTGGAATTACACCCATTTTCACTACTCAGTTGACCCTGGCGACACAGCTAAACCTCCAGGTGGCCTCAACGACTCTCTGAAAGAATGCAAATGACTAGCTGCCTGCAAGGAGTATAAATCCTTCCATTCCCCACCGTCCAGTCAGAGCTGAAGAAGCTTCTTGGATGAGAAGCAAAACGTCTTCAAAGAAAAACAAGGAAGTCCAGTTGCCTTGTGAAAAAGCACCTTTGGGATAACTATGACCTGGATGACTGAGAATCTCCATAGAAATATTGATTGAAAGCCATGTATGAACTGTTTTCATGGTTATTGTTCCCCAAATTCTTCTGGAAAGAGCTGGTTAGTGAAAGTAATGCATATTTTAAATCAGATCCAAAACTGTAATGATTGTAGACTTAAATGCCCTTGTGGGATTTAAGTCTACAATCAAACAAGTCTAAGAATTTAGAAACATATCGAAACATAATTCAATATGCACACCTGTATTGCTTTCAAGAGAAGGCAGGGATGGTTACAAAGTTTTTTCAAAGCACCGATGCATATTAAATGTGCACTATTTTCGAAACTTCCTTGTAGGCAAGATCTAACAATCTGAGAGTTCAAAAGAGTATGATAAAGAGCAAGCTGCAACATTGTTGGACGACAGAAAAGTATGCTCTCCTTTTTGGGGGGCAGGAATTTGTTGATGACCTCTTGTGTTCTTCTAAGAATGAAGAATCCTGTTAGATGCATCAGTTCTGCTGCCCTTTTCTCACCTAGTTCAATGTCTTCCTAGGAAATAAAATGGAATATCAAATTAATTCATGAGAGTAAATTTCCTGCCATGGCCTTCTATTCATTCTTGCTTACCATAAATAGGTCTCTTCCTTTACAGAAGCTTCCTTAGAGTCTGGAACTCTAACCAGGACTCTCCTCCCTCTTCCCAAAGTTCACGAATTCTGCTCCCTCTGTCTGCCCTTACACTCTTGTATCATTTCCCCTTCCTCTGGAGTTCAGGCAGAACATAAACTTCTAAATAGAAATCCCAATGAGTTAAATAAAGTTTCTATGCCTAGAATATTTGAAATAGGACTGCAGTCTAAATTTACTCTTCTTTAAATTTTGCATTTCCCTTGCTCCTCAGATTTGCGTTAAACAATTTTGAAATAAACTCAGCATTTCATCAATGTCTTAATCTGATTTATTCTTAAATTTTTCCTTGTTTTCCTAAGTAATCAAGACACCTTAGAACAATAAAACTAAATACAAAATAAAAACTTGATAACAAAATTTATACATATATTAAAATTACTATAATTAAAACCAGTTAACACCTTAAAAGCTTGATGAAATAAATATTTTTTGCCACTCTCCAAAATACTGAGAGGGTTAGGTTAAATACTTTTCCTTGGAAAGAGGACTTCATAACTTGGAAGTCATAGATGAAAAGATTCAATTCCCTGTACTACATGATAAGGTTTGTTAGCAGAGGACTTTCTCTTCCTGTTTCTAGAATATCTTCAATAGTTGCTCTTTGTAATGGTAGTCATACAGTACAGAAATATAAATATAAGATATGTATTGCCAATCATAACAACAAATTATTTCTCCACTAATAAAGAAACTTCATGTCTCTTAATTTTATTCAATCAGTAAAAAAAAATTCTCAAATTCCAATTGTGATAACAGACCTCAGCTGCTGAAGGTTCTCGCGATCTAAGAATTGGCTCTTCATACACTTTTTTGTATGCCGATAAAGGACCAAGAATTCCAGGATTTACATATTCTATTAAAGCATAAAACTCTTGCAGGTCATTTTGTACTGGAGTACCTTGGGAGACAAAATAGAATTTAGTAAATAATACAACAGAGCCAATTATGTGTAGTGGCTAAGACAGCAGAATAGAAACTGGGAGATTATGAGTTCTAGTCCAGCCTTAGGCACAAAGCCAGCTAAGGCCATTCATACTCTTTCAACTCTAGGAAGCAAGCAATAGCAAACCATTTTGGGATTCTTACTAAGAAAACTAAAGGGACTATTCCAGACAGTCTCCAAGAATCAAGACTGATTTGAAGGCACAAATACATACACACACACACACACACACCCTTCCTTCCCTAATTAGATTTTTATTCACTTTTTAATACACCAATGTAAGGGAACAACAAATCTAATTTTTTTTATTGTAGGTTGAACAATATTTTCAGTGACACTCACTGAAATACTCACCTCAACCTTGTATTCGTATATCCAAGAATACAGCCCATTTTAGATATAATCCTGAGAATGTTTTGCTTTGTTTCTACCTATATTTATCATTGTAATTAGCACTTTTTGTATTCTCCAGAAGCTCTTGGTGAGTGAATAATGATATACACACCAGTAAGAATAATTCTTCTTTCACAGGAGAGGCTGAGAAGAGCAGCAGTTGTCTTAATAGAACTGTTTTTCAAACGATGTCCTTCATCACAGATGACAAGGCTGAATTCTGTCTTCTGAATTTGGTCCACAGACCGTAGAAACATCTCATAACTAAGAATCAGGACTGAATAAAGGGGGGAATTGATGAATTCTTCCACTTTGTGATCCTGAAAAACATAAAGAGATTTGAAAGTTATGTGGGAATGGGAAAGTTGGCGTTCTAAATAAAAATGAATCTATACCTAAATGTATGTCTTACATACATATCTAAATATATTGAATTATTCTGAATTAATTTATGAACATTCATTGACAAATAAGACAATTTATGAACAGTCATTGACAATAAAATGAGATGACTAACTTTGTTTAAACTACACACAGTTGTTTTTCTCTTGTATGCTTCCAATGACTTAATTTTTACTTCTGAATATTAATGAAAAAGACTCTCCTTTGTATCCAACTGGGGAACATTGTTAGGTTTCTTTCTTTCCTGTTCACTATCCAACCAATGTTAAACATCTGCTAATAACAATTGGACATTTTAGTACATACAGTATGCCTATGCCACTGCTTTCCGGAAGAAATGAAAGAAGGAAAATGTCTACACTGAAAAGCTACCCTTTAATCACAAGCCCTGAAAACAAACAGTTGAGTTGCAAGCCTGCAGCCTCCATTCATTTGACTGAATAATTCATCACTGAGTTAAGGACTTAACCATAGTTTGTTAAATAATTCCCACTGGCTGCTCTGGGTTGACAAACTGCATTAAACCCAAACAAGTAAGACACATTCTGGTTCAGTGCTTCATGTGAGCCCAAGAAGCAGATGAAGAGAAGGAATGTGAAGTTACATTTAGATTAAATTGTTCTACAGAGTGAAGTAAGAAAATACAATGCTCATGTCAATGAAATTAAATTAAAAGGGTTCTATATAAATATCTATTTATACAGTTCATAAATAAAAGATAAACATCTAAACATTTGGGAGTATCTAAAATAATTATTAGGGATAGGAGTGTAATTCTTTGGTTCACCTGATCAACTAAAAACACTTTGATTCTCTCATTTCCCAACCATTTCTGAAATTCCTTTCCCCAGTTCTTCACCAGACTTCCAGGAGTTACTATCAAGGCTCGTTTGATTACAGGCTTGCATCCATAAGGTCCTTGACGCAGAAGTGTCCACATGAGCGAAATACACTGCAGTGTTTTTCCTAAACCCATTTCGTCTGCAAGGATGGCACCAAATCTATTGCTCATTCTAGACACAGACAGCAAGAAAAAAGTAAGTGATTATTGTATAAAATGAGTTTTTTTAAAAAGCCTTGGCCATTTAATGGAACATCATAGGCATCCTGATCGTTTGGCAATATAGCAAAAGAGTATTTTGGATTAGACTTTTGATTTAATTGATTTGTTTTTTTATTCCACCATGTCCATACAAAATTTTAAAATATACAACGAGAATTAAATATGATTGTTGATGGTTATATTTTTACATAATATTGTTCATTTTTGTTATAGGTTATATTTTGTTGTGCTTGTACAGTTAAATAGATTGGATTGAAATAAAATAAAAATAGCTGTAGTAAAATAAATAGGCATAGATACTCAGAACTGGACTCAGAACAGTTAGAGAAAGAGGCTACAGGTTACTTGTCTTCCTTCATTCAAATTGTATCTTTGAGAAAATATGCTGAACCTGCCCACTTGAGCATATTGCAATATTATATTTTAGGTAAATTTTTCTATAGAGAGTAGAAGAGTTCTACTTGATAAATAAAATTTAAAAGGAGCAGATAATGTGAAAATTTGAGGTAAGGCTGATAGGTGATTCAGATAAACATAAATGTTTCCTTCATGAAACTATAATACTCTTTTCATTATTATCTGCATTATCTCCCAAACCTTCACCAAATTTGGCAATATGTCCTATCTCTTGAAGAATGAATAACCAAGCTTTGTGCCCTTCCCTCTGGTGAATGAAGTCCCTAATTTGGTCCCTAATTTGGTTGCAGAATTGAGCACAATAAATTCTATGAAATTATTAGGTCAGATTAATATCATACTTTTAATTTTGCTATAGAGTATACTCCATTTCAACAGCTTCCTATTAATATAAAATATTGCTAATTATTTCTCTGAAGGGAGAATTTTCCAGGGAGAAGCTGTTGCATTATTCATAAACAGAATCTTCACTCTGTAAAAGGTCTCAATATAATTCAATAGAAGATCTGCCAGGGCTTCACTGAGTTGTTGCTTGTATTCTCTGACTTCTAAAGATTTATTCATAGACTTCAAATCCATTCATTTTTGCAATATTTTTAAAGCTATTGTACTATGCAGGGATGGGGGGGGGGAGAAACAATTATCGCTGTCAAAATCATAGGTTTAAAAATATTATAATTATAGGAGTTGGAGTTTTCAACCAAACTAGGCAACAAATAATTTTTTTCCAGCCTAGATCTCCTTAATTTCTACCCAAGAAAGAGAGAGAAAGCCTTTGTAGAAAAGCTTTAGCAAAGCTGCATGAATTAGATTTAAAAAAAAAAAAGATTCCTTTAAGTCAAGACCAACTTCTGGTCTTGACTTAAATAAGGAAATAATTTGCCACAGCCTTCTTCTACAAATTTGTTTGGCTCCTCCAGTTACAATTCACACATTTCCTGTTGGTCTGTCATTCTAATATTAACCATGCCTGAGCTAATTTAGTTTGTTTGAGATCAGCAAAAGTTAGCCAAGCCTGTTTCCTGGGCTCCACCTTGTCTGTGTCATTTTATCATTCAGAGGGTATTTTAATTTTAAAAAATAGTAAGCTGGAATGCTGGAAAGCAAAGTATCAGCTTCCAAGATCATGTTTATATCCAACAATAATAGTGGTCCCCATGGCTGCCATTTTGTAAATGACTCCAGAGTCATTTTGTGACAAAGGTGGTTTTTCAGGAGGCAACTGGACTTTCTTGCTTTTTCTTTGAAGATGTTTTGCTTCTCATCCAAGAAGCTTCTTCAGTTCTGACTGGATGGTGGGGAATTAAAGGATTTGTCCATTCCCCACCATCCAGTCTTCAAAGAAAAAACAAGAAAGTCCAGTTGCCTCCTGAAAAAGCACCTTTGGCACAACCATGGCCTGGTTAACTGACAATCTCCATAGACTCATTGTGTGACACTGCCCACAAGATACTCTGGATATGCCAAATGTGACCACCAGCTTAGAAAGATGACTTATCAACTGGTGGAGGAGGCAAAATCTTCTGTTTTCAAGCAGACCGAAGCTGACAGGTACACGTTGAAGTGATATTTTCCCTTCATTGTATTTAACTGTATTGTTTATCTTTGTTTATTTGGCTTGGGTTTTCTTGGGTGGGAAGGAAATGTGCAGATTTTATACAAACTAAGAAACCACAATACTGTAGCTCTTATAAACATGCTATAGGCATAGCCCACTGCTCTGTTACAGATATTGTATTAGTCTCCATATAAAAAGTCCACATTATCCTCATACACTATTCTCCTCTTTTGGCCTATGTGCAATGTCTCCCCCCCTTTCTTTCTCTTTCTCTTTTTTGCTATTTCCAATCTGTATGGTTGCTGTAATGCAGATTTTTTTTTTAGGAATTGGGAAGATCCAAAACAAGTTTTGCACAAATGCTGTTTTCTAGCACTCCTTCCTTCTGGGAGGGAGGAAGCTTCTTTCTCATACTTCTGCCATTGCTCAGTTTGCTTTCGTTTTTGTAAGTGTTGCCACCTGTACATAGCTTCCCCATATAGTCATCTCCCTGGGTAAAACTGTGTCAATACAACCATCACAACAATGTTGCTGAAAATGGCACCTAGATGGGCATTTCTTTCGCTCCTCAGCTTTAGCACTTGAAGTGTTTACAATATACCAAAGGCAAATGCATCGACTTTTCCCAAAATCTACCAATGTTCTGAAAGACTGGGAGATCAAAAACCAGGAAACCATGATCTTCTTACCTCATTCCCATCACACATTCATAAAGAAATAGAATTCCTTCTCGCTGATGTGGGCGAAGATGACTTGTAATGTAAGGGTCTACAACCACATCCACAACAGGCAAATGTGACTTGTTAAACAATCGCTGGTGACTTGAGCACGGATATGGCATAACTAAGGAATCTTAAATTTCAAACATAGGTGGTGTCAGCGCAAAAATATTAGTTTTAAAGCAAAAGCAACCAGTTTTGTAGGTGAAAGGAAAATAAATTGCCAAATTCAAACCAAAACATGCAAATAACCCTACCCTTTTAATTCTCAAATTGACAGAATAGTTAATAAACAATTAGTAGTGTCATATAAACAGTCTTCTCTAAGATGTTTAATATTAAACAAAGAGGAAAAACTTATCATTCTGAAATAGATGGTGATATTTGTTCAAGAATTTCTTAGGATAAAATCAACAAAATGACAACTTGCTTCACTGGGTTATATTCTAACCTTAATTAATTTCCTATATAATCCGACTTTTAGGAATGTATCAAACATTTTGAGTCCCGTCTTAGGCATAAAAGTCAGCTGGGTGACTTTGGGACAGATATTCTCTCTCAGCCCAATTTACCTCACAGGGCTGTTGTGGGGAAAATAGGAGGAGGAAGGAGAAACAGATATGTTTACCACCTTAGTTACTTATAAAGTGAAAAAGCCGAGACAAAAGAAGAAGCAACTGTATTTTTCATAATTCTTGATCATTGGCTTTCAGTGTCTGGAATTTATATCTAGAGAACAATAAATTGCCTACTCATGAGCTATGTGCAAGTTTCTTAACTTTGCTGCAAATGAGATGGCAATCTCTCCAATCCATCAAGGGAGGAATATCTTCTATTTGTTCAAGTTTAGATATGATTTCTGTTTTCAAATATGTCATTTTTCAGTCCATCTAGATCAGCGGTTCTCAACGTTTGTGTGACGGCGACCCCCATCACACAAATGTTATGCGCATGCGCGGTGCGGTGGCGCCCCATGCGTGGCGCGCATGCGCGGCGGCGCCCCCGGAGGGGAGAAAATGGCGGATCGCCGCCTTTGGCGACCCCCGAAAAATGGTCGATCGACCCCAAATGGGGTCGCGACCCATAGGTTGAGAACCGCTGATCTAGATTTCATCATATCCACAGTGCCTATATTTGTTTTATACTGAGATTCTGAGAACGAGAGAAAAAAGTTAGATTTTAGTTATCCAATTCACTCATTTAATTAGTTTGGCCTTCCCCAAGTTAATTTCCTCTTTATATGTTAAGGCTATGACTGGAGTTAATTCCAATATAAGTTAGAGGGTGTCTGAATTTGATTTGGATTACTAATTCATTTTCTTTAGAAGATAGAACAGAGATAGACAGATTAACGCAAATAAACTCAAAAACAAATCCTTACTTGCAGCTAACGGATCATGACGTGGTTTACAGTTAGGCCAATTTTCTTTAGTATTAGGTTTGCAAACATTTTTGAAAGGGTTACAAAACCGCCTTGTAGAAGCAGCTGAGGAATTCCAACTTTCTTCTGTGGCCTCCAGACCAGACAAAAAACATTTGCCACTTTTAAAGTCCTCTTCCAATATCACACCCATCACTTCAATTTCTTTGCTTCCAATCATCAGACTCTGACCTTCAGTGAGATTGTCTAAATCTCTGAACTTATATCCAGTGCCTAAGAGAAATTATAAAGGTTATGTTGAGATGTGGAAACTAATCAAGGAGAGAAGCAACCTAGAATTAAGGAGAAACTTCCTGACAGTTAGAACAATTAACCAGTGGAACAACCTGCCTCCAGTAGGTTGGTGAATGCTCCAACCCTGGAAATTTTTAAGAAGAGTCTGGACAGCCATTTGTCCGAAATGGTATAGGGTTTCCTGCCTGAGCAGAGGGTTGGATTAGATGATCTCTAAGGTCCCTTCCAACTTTATTATTATTATTATTATTATTATTATTATTATTATTATTATTATTATTATTATTATATAAATGAATAAAGAATACATTTAGTCAAGTAAATCTTACAATTTTAAGAAAGAAGACATTATCGCCATACTGTGCAAGAAATAAGGCCAATTCTTTTGACTAAAAAGCTGAATACTGATAGTTTATATTTATGACACATTCTTTTTAAAGAAAAAATATTAAATAGCTCTGTAAGTTTTTGAAAGATGTCAGGAACATACTCAGCATAGCTCCTTTATATTTATGGTACTGTATCACTTTAAAAGAAGGTAAACATTAGCCCCATTTGATGCCAAAACATCCACTGTTCCAAAATACAAATTACATGCTAGAAGCTTTCCAGAGATCTGGTACTCCTGAGGGCTGGGGGAAAAAACAAAGATTCTAACCGAAATTTAGACACATTCCTGAAAATATCTTATACCCTTATTTACTTCACTAAATGAATTCCTAACTTATCCAATCCTGCTAGGCAATAGGAACAAAAAAGCTTGATTAACAAGTTAATGAGTAATGCATGAAAGTTATCGCTTGTTGCTAAGCAATATAGTGCAGGAAATGGTTGATCTCCCTTTTATTTATAACTGTGTTAGCAGCACCAATTATTATTTTTCTGAAAACAAAGAACTCTGTAATACCTCAGAGACAAACACATTTATGTAAATAGTTGTAGGGAATGCTTTTTGCACAGGCATGTAAATTTTGTTTGAAATGTTAGAGACTGTCCTTTATTTGGTAATCGTTGCTATCTAAGAGGGGGGGGAGGGAGGGAGAGAGAGAGAGAATTGCACTTACTACCGGTACATCTGATAAAGTGGGCTTTACTAGATAAAAGATTATGTCAAAGGACTGGTGCTATAAAGAAATGGCTTCAAGGTATATTTTCTTGCATACTATTTTCCTGCACGTTGTTATGGAGGAGGTAAATCTTTACAAAAATGTTTAACTATATAAATCATTTGCAATTTCACTGAATACACGCAGGTAGTTTTCACCCCTCTGAACTGGGATTAACTTGCAAATACATAAATGTAGGGAAGTATGTTGTGGATATGGCAGATATTAAATTCCATTATTTATCAGAAACATTCTTAAAAGGCTAGTGGTTAAGAAAAATATAATCAGAGTGTAATAGAGTGTAGTTTGTATATGTAAGAGAGACAGAGAAAGACAAGTGGTAGAGTGATATTCCGAATATGAAATGACATTCTGAATATGGGAGTTTTCTGGGCTTTATCTGATAGTAGGACAGTACTTTGGATTTGATTCACAAGACCTGTTTCAGAGAGGTAGTTCATAATAATACTCTCCAAACACTCTTTTCATTGGAAAATTTCCACTTTTTCCTTGCTTTTGAGAGAATAATATACTCTATTCGTGCCCAAGGAATTTTAGAGCATACTAAGAGAATTTTTCATTCACCACTATTTAAATCTTTCAGCTGAATTTGCCATCTCAATCCCTAAGCCTGAGCTCCAACTCACATGTGCAAAGATCTAATCACTGCAATTGTTCCTGTCATGTGACCATTTTAATTCCATTCTGGCAATCACCAAATATGTTGAAATATTATTTCCACGACCCCAGCTAGATATAATAGTTGAAAATGTAATAATTGAGATTGAAGTCTAACACAGTGGTTCTCAACCTTTTTAATGCCGCGACCCCCAACCGGTCGTAAGTCGAGGACTACCCAACCAGTCGTAAGTCAAGGACTTTCCCTGCCCGGGAGCGCCGTGCATGCGTGGTGCCGCCCCCTGCGCCGGCCAAGGCGTAGCTGGCAAGCGGCAGCGACGGCGCAGGGCGACCATCGGCTGGGCCACCAGCTGGCCCAGCCCAAGGGAGGTAAGGCACCCGCTGGGCCCCACGCGCGCCAGCAACCCCCCCTGCGCCCGTCGGCCTCCCACCTCCCACCTCTGGCCCTCTTTTACTTACATTTTTAGTAGTTGCTCAGCAGGGAGGGGTGGAAAATTCCAGACAGCTCGCCTTTGCTGCAGACAACTTGCAGCACCGTTTGCAGAATGGGACTTTTGGCGGGTTCAGCAGGGCAGAGACAGCCTGGACAATTCCTATTGGCTTTTGAAAGCCAATAGAATTAGACTCTATTCAAGGGAGTCTATTCTATTGGCTTTCAAAAGCCAATAGAATAAAAGGGAGTAGCACAGCTAAGGAAAAGGAGAAAAAATGGCAGACTGCATTGTTTGGCGACCCCCGTGAAATGGTCGTTCGACCTCAAATGGGGTCGCAACCCACAGGTTGAGAACCGCTGGTCTAACACCTCTAGAGGATACAAATCTGGCCTCATTTATAAGTTAGCCATGACAAACTACCTCTCAACACACAAGTTTCAATTAGCTGACATGGCTATGTAATATTCTAACTTTCTACCAATAGACAGAAAATTCCTTCATAAAATCACAGAATCTTAAGCATTGGAAGGATCATTTGGATCTTTGAACTCATTTGCTAGGCTCTTCACCTCTTTTATATAACTCTTTGTCCCTTCAAAGTGTGGCCTCAGTCATCAAAAAGTATCCTTTTCTTCCTTTGGTCAAAAGTTACATAACAATATTTCTTCCGAAATACACCTGAACAATTATTTTCATTTCATTCTTACCTTTTCCAATGTTTTTGCCTTCCATATCCTTGAGCATCACTGACTTTCCTTTCACTATAAGAACAGCATCAGCTTCCCACTTCTTGTGCTTTTTCTTTGAGGCTTTGCACCATACAACACTGAAATATTTGGTAAGGCACATGGGCTCCTCTGGGTGTCTTGCTATTTCTGTTGCTGCTGGATCTGTAAGAATGAAGACACACAGGAGGTCTTGGAATTGCAGAGTGTACCAGGTACGCAAACTGAAAGTCAGCTGAGCAAACCATGAAGCTGAATATTAGGTCAGCTTTTTAAGTTTATTTGTTCTGTGTGCATCAGGACAGCAGGATATCTTTTAAAGGGGGGTACTTGTCTAAAGGAACTTGTCTAAAAGCATCAGTAACAGAAACTCACAAGTACGCAGCTATTCAGAATTCAGAATGATAGGATTACACACTGTGTTTCTTCATGCATATCTATCTATATATATATATATATACACAAACTTATTTACGCACATACATGCAGGGGAGGAGAGAGTTAAGAGAATCAAGGTATGTATAGCAGAACGTATATTCAGATCAATGTCTGGATTGTACCTCAAAACATTTGAAGACTACAGTACTATGTTATCTGCTCCTGCCATAGGTAAGCTGCTTTGACACAGAGGCAAGATACTTCTGGATGGAAAGGTACATAATGGGAGAGAAAAACATCAGCCAAAATATTTCAGAGACAAAAACCAGGCAAAGTGCCCACAATGCAGTCTACTCAAAATATTTCAAGCTTTATTTAAATATTTATTTTACTGAAGTGCTCAGTCTTACAAGCACATCACAATAACATTGATTCCTGCCATCTATTCATGAGAAGCCATTGTCAGGAATATATGTGGGCAATCTCATGATCTCTTCTTTCTTGGGAGAGATTTTGCAAGCACAAATCCCGCATCCAGCCATTGATGTCAGCCACAACCATTGATGTCAGCCACAAAGTTGCTTCTGTTTCTTCAGGGACATCTTCAGTTCACCACATCCTCAATGGATGTCCTCAAGAATGACATTTTCTCTCCAGTCATCTGGCATTTCATCAGTTCCTCACAGTTTTTCAAAGACAATATAAAAAGGTTCATCTAAATTCTCACCTTTATTAACCTAGGTCACAATGCATTTTGCCCTGAGATTTAAATACAGTCAGTGAAATAGATGTTTCTTTACCACATTTACTTCTTCTGCCCTGTCCTTATATACTGCTCTGTCCAACTGCCTTCTTGCGGAAAACATAACCAGAATAGGATCTGAATAGCTTTGCTTTCTGTTTTAGTAAGCAATTTGTCTTCTTTCTTGAGATATTAGTAGAGTGCTCCCTTTTTCTTCCTTTTATGTTGACATTATCCCTCTCCCTTCTACTGCTTCTGTTCCTTTGGAACAAATTGGCTCATTGTGTCCATAGATCATACCATGTCTCATAATTATTAAATCATAATTGTCTTTCTGAACTAAGAATGAAATCTTCTATTTTTATGTCCTATACTCAAAGCATTAGTCTATGGATAAACCAGGTTGTGAACTTTATGAAGCAATGTTTTTTCCTGTAGAGTTTAAGGGCCCAGTTACACTTCCATTTCTTTCTATAGTGTACATAGATTTTTTTCCTGATGTCTTTATTTTTCATCTCAACTCTCCATTACACCCTTTCCAATCAAGTTCCCCATACTTCAGCCTAGGACATTCTCCCCAGTCCTTGTGAAGTACAATATATCTTTCTTGTGCCAGCAAACCAAATCTCTTCCATCAATACCAATTATTCATATGCAGTATTCTTCTTTTCTTTTCTCAATCCACTTCTATGGAGTAAAAGGAATAATGGCAATCCCAACTTACCCCACAGGTGGGATTGTTGTTTATGGTTTAATATCCATGGGGATATGGTTGCAAGCTCTTTTTTACAGCATGATTTTCCCCCAATATGGATTAGCACAAAGGAAAAATTAGGAATGGACTTGATAAGTCTTGGAAAGTGATCAATCACATCCCCAATCCTTACCTTTGTCAAACTGTGCACTTTGTATGTTTTTATGCCTTATGAAGAATTGTGTCCTTCTTTCTATGATCTAACAAATCTTTACCATCTTTCATCAATCATTCACTATTCTAATCCTTTGTTTACTACCAGCTGAAAAATAGGCTGGATTCTTTGCAGGCAGGAACAGAAAAGTGGCATAAGCATTGCAGGTCACAGCTGCAAACTTCTATCCATTAATCTTCATTTTTTTTAATGTTCCACCAGTAGAATTTTTTTTATTGTTTCTTGTTCTCTTCTCATGCTTTCAGCTAAAACTATCAATTTAAAGGGAAAGACGGCTTGAAAATCTCCCTCTGCTAAATTGCACTGACAAACTCCTAATTGTTCTCACTGCTTGCTTGCTTGCTCAGTACTGCCCAGGCCTTTCATGAAACATGTCCTGCAAAGTCATTTGTGAGTTTCTGTAGTTGTTGTCATAACCCTATGTTATAATTTAAAGTTTACAATTTAGTACGGATTTGGGGTTGTTTTATTGTATCTCACTTTGGGATTTAATAGAAAGTCTAGAATATCTATATTAAATAAATACATCCTTCAGTTTTACTCTTTGTACCAGACAGCAGAATTTTTTTCTTCTGAACATTTCAAAAAGAAGTTGAACTGACAGCTGCAACTTAAGAACAAGTCTTGTGTATAACCTATTATCATAAAATGGACACTATAATTTGATTTCTTCCTTATCAGCTTCTCTTTCAGTCTTAAGCACAGATAAGTTCCCAAAGCAATTCATGGGGATTTTGGCAGGCAATGGGAATCGCGCTGCTGAGTTAAACCCTGTATCTCTTTTTCAGGCATTTTCTAAACACTATCTATATATTGTTGTTATGAGGAGAAGAAGACAAACATGGGAGGGAAACAAAAATTTCAGAAGCAGCACAAGCTGGAGCTTTCCTTTTCAAGCAACTGTCCATTTAAGAAGGAGCCTAATAATATAGATCTTTAATTGTTATTTTCACTGTTTATTGTGATTCTGTTCTTGCATTTTATTTCAATCGGTGAACTACCTTAGAAAGATCTGTACCATATGTGTAATGACAAGGCATAAAATAGCTTCTTTTTATTTTTATTATTCAGATATGAGTTTTTCCAAATCCAAAGAAATGACTAAAAGTTTAATGTAGTTGCGCTCGCAACACAATTTATAAATAGGCTACCAACAACAAACAGGAAAAACTATTATTATAAATAATTAATATTAGCATTTAATTTTAGCATGCTGCTGGCAACCTACTTTAGATCAAGCTCATTGCCCAGAGCTTTCATTGATTTATCACTTATAGCAAATATATTTTCTTATTTGTTACAAAGAAAATAATTTCCAGGAGACACCCCAAAACACAAACCATACCAGACATATCATTATTTCTGCTGTAGATCTAAAACAGGCAATGCTGCAATAAGCCACTTAGATTACCAAAATATGGTTGCTTAAAATTCATGAGTGTTAGAAAGAATTGACCCTTGTTGTGCATTACACAGGAATGATTATTTTTAGACAAGCTGATGACATTCTTGAAAGGAAAAGATGTAATCCTTTCAAGCCATGTTATATAAACCCAATCTACATAAAGGCAATCTATTCAATAATTCAAGCAGGACAAAAACATTAGAGATCAAATTTAATAGGGACTGTGTAATTGTAGTTATATCTGCTAAATACATATGCATATTATGTCCCAGCAGAGAGACTTAGGATCATGATTACTTCAGTGCATTTTAACTGAGACATCTCCAGATTTAAGTAAATGAAACAGTATATATGCAAAAGTTATTTAACTATTTAACATGCAACTTGGTTAAACATTGTGCATTAAAGTAAGGTTATTAGTTGTTTATTAAATCTATAGATGGTGTAACTCCATCCCACAACTGGAAAAGTCTGTACTATTGCTATCCGCATGAATTAATTCCTAGGCAGAAATAGTTCAATAATTTGAAGGGAAGCATGGAGAGAGACACATATAAATACTAGGGTTTTATTTTCTGACAAGAATTGCTATGGACTGTTGTTACATGATATTAGGGTTGGTTTGCCTCAAAAACAAAAAGGGAGGGGGGCTTTTTGATAGTGAACTGAAATGTAGGAAATGATTTTCCAGAGATACTGTGGTTTTATGAAATGAATGAAAGCTATTTCACATTAGGGAAGCTGTGGGTAGTCACTGACATTGGGAGTTATCAGAATTATTAGATGAGTCAAACTCTGGGCTAGCAGTTTATATAACATTTTAAGCTTTACTATTCTTATATTATGCAGATTCAGGAACTGCTACAGCTGGGCATGAATGCACAAATATTTCAAATTTAGGTATGTGTGTATTCTAAAGAATTTTAGAGTTTGTAAGAGAATGAGGCTATATTTGCATACTATGCACTCAACTGAGACAAAATTGACTGTTCTAAAACTTTTAAAATCTGTATAGCAGTTTGTAACAAAACCGGAAAAACTAAGTGTTCTAAACTGATTACAAACTTTCTTAAGTCATCTATCTACCTTATTTAGAAAGTACTCTTCACAAATGATTCATTTCCTATTAATAGTGAAATTGTGATGGTAAAACAGTGAAAATCACAAATCTTCTAATCATAGAGGAGCCATCCATCACTGACTGGTATTTCAAAGCTGGAGGCTTGGAATTAATAAAATACCAATTCAAAGAATAGAAATTATGCAACATTCAACATATCAAGACCAAAACCACTTGTTTTCTTTTTAATAAATACATTAGTAAAAAAGGGCAGTATCATTACAGGTAGTCCTCTACTTATGATCACAATTGAGCCCAAAATTTCTGTTCTTAAGTGAGACATTTGTTAAGTGAGTTTTGTCCCATTTTACTACCTTTCTTGCCTCAATTGATAAATGAATCACTGCAGTGAATAAGTTAGAAACCCAGTTAAGTAAATCTGACTTCCCCATTGACTTTGCTTGTCAGGTCGCAAAAAAGACAATGTGGTGAGGTGAATGACTTTGAATAAATGTGAAAGTTATGAAAGAGGAACAGGACAACCCATGTTCAAGATGATCCTCAGCTATGAAAGCTCAGAAGGTGACTTTGGGTTAGTTGCCTCCTCAGCTGAATCTGTCTTACACCTTATTTTGATTACAGCAAAACAGA